CCCGCAGGGAGCCTGCCCGGCGCCTGGCGGTGCCCCCCGCGGCGCAGGGGCTGGAGCGGGGCTCCCGCTTTGGGGTGAGGATGCGGGGAAGGGGGTGAAAGCGCTGCAGAGGGGGCGGGGGGAGGCGCGGGAGCCCCAGGGCGCTGCGCCCGAGGGAGCCGCCGGCTCCGGAGAAACAAAGAAAACTTGACAAGTGCGTGGGGAGCAGAAGCGCGGGGTGTCCCGCGCCCCGCGGGGGGCTCCGCGCAGCCCCACAGCCCCACCACTGCCTCTTCCAGGGAGATTTTTTTTGTCCTAACAAAGCAGATCCTTCCCATTTGCTTTCGGGGCTTATTTATTTATTTAAATCTTTGCAGCAGGGGTGCTCCCTGGGTGGAGCTGTCTGGTCTTCAGCAACTATCGCTAGGGAGCAGGGGCAATTTTCAGAGCAGCTCTTTGCTTCCAGTGTCAGCTGTTGCTTTGATGGACACATGTCACACCTCAAGCTAGGGAGAGGTTCCTAATCTGAGCTGTCAACCTTTAGCTGGGGTTGGCAAGAACAATTATTTGTATTTGACAATATGGGAGTGGGGATTTTCTGCTTTCATTGTCTCTTAATTTCATTGAGCATATGGAAAATGTGTGATATCAAAGTGCTGGTTTCACTGCTCTGGTGCAATAAAGGTGATGTGAATAGTGGGAACAAGCCTTCCTTTGAGCACACTGCCCTTCAAACTCATAAATGCAACAGATGTGATGAAGAAAATAAGTCTCCTATAGAAGAATGCTTTGTCTGGAGGAAGATGAAATGGAGTAATTCAGCGCCATTGTACCAGAACCCCTGTTTCAGAAAGGAGAAGCAAGTCAGCAAAAATGTTTGAGGGTTTTAAACCTATTAGACAGACTACTGGGATCCTCCCACTAGCTGCTTTTTTCTCCTCAGGCAGAGGAAACAGACCCTTTTCCAGCTTGTTTTGGCCTTACTTGAAAGCCTTGGATGCCTTGAATGCCTGGCTCTACTGGTATGCCCCTATCTCTGACAGTTGTGATAGTGCTCACACGGCTGGTCTTATGAATTGCTGTAATTCGGCTGGATATGCCCTGGCTTTCCCAGCTGCCACATCAGCCTGGTAAAGATCTCATGCCTAAGAAAACCAGATCTGAAGGAATTCAGCTTTCAAGAACTTGTTCTGGTTCGTTTCTGTAAGTTGAAGAGTAAACCATAATACAGCTCATTAAGTATGACGTAGGCTGCTTTTTTAGCTATCTAAGAGCAGCTCACTGCTAGACTTAGGGCTTATTCTTGCGGCTTTATGTATATGCCCTAGAAGCTATAAAACAGCTTAAAGCTGTTAAAGTTCAGACTAGTAACACGTTTGCAGACTTGAAGGTTTTTCAGACTTGAAGGTTTTTCAGACGAAACGAATCCAGACAGAGGCTGGAGTCCAGACGTCAGTGGTGCAATCAGTCCCTTGGCTCGTAAGCTCAGCTTCAGTCTCCGTTCTACTGCCAATTTGAAGATTAGCACATTGGCTTTCATATTATTATTATTATTGGTTGTTCATAGTTGGGAAGCTGGGTTTTGATGTGTCCACATGTAATTTTTTTCTAAGATCAGTAGTGATTCTTCTGGCCATGGAGTGAAGCAGAGACACAGGTGGAGCATGAGATTTTTGCTTTTGATAAATCAAAGAGCACGAAGAGTAGTGGTAATAGTGTCTGGACTGAATATTGGCAAGCTTTGGACTTTCTCGTTATATACTGAAGACGTGACATAGCTGGTATCATTTGTTAAAAGCCAGTGCACGACATGGTTGCCTCAAGTTGTTTCTATTTGGGTGAAGTTTAGCCCATATGACTGTAGTCTCTCTCTTACAAGATCCAACAACTTTCTTTGTGTTCTCATTTTAACTTTGCTTTATGTGTTGCTTATATGCTGCTTGTTAGTGCCGTGGTTTAATTCTTGAAATACAGAGTGGGTAAATGAGCATCTTTCTCCAGAGTACTGCGCCCTCCTGGAGGTGGCTCCAACTTCTCACTGGGTTTTGATGAGCCAAAAGAGCAGCCTGTGCGAAGGAACAAAATGGCATCCAGCATCTTTGGAACTCCTGAAGAAAACCCACCTTCCTGGGCTAAATCATCGGGTAAGGATGTAGTGCTGCATTTCTGTATCTGCTGACGGCATTGATTCATTTTGGCTTTTGGCCTGAAGCTGCTGGAGGCTGAGTATGGAAACCTGGGCTGAGTTCCCACTTAGAAGTTTACTGCTATAAGTGATATATAGTTGTAAGGGTTCTTTGTTGTTTCAAATTACTTCTAAAGTGGTTGTTGTTGTTATGAGTCCAAATCTTGGGCATAGGTGTTATAAATAAATAGCCAGGGGAGTTATATTTTGGATGCAATTGCTTCAAGGTTATCAAGGTGTAGTAAGGCAAACTTGTTTCCTACTTTGCAGAGTAGTGCTGATTGGTCTTGAATAATCAGAGAGAGGAACTACAGTTGTGTAGAGTACTTGCAGCTGGGAATCAGCTTCTGGTTTTGCCAAGCACTTCCAGGGTAGCCTTGTGATCCTACCTGCCAACTCTTTAGATGATAATCTCCACCAGCTGAGGTGCTCTTGTAAAACAGTAATTCATGAGTAATTCATGATATCTAAAGGCCCAGAATAGGATCTTGGTAGGGCAAGGCTCAGTGCAACAGCAATGAGACTTTGGCTGTGTATGATGTGCTTTCTCAGTTAGTTTATCTTGCAACCTGATTGGGCTCCATGTCTGCTCATAGGGGCTAAGCCAGGTGAAGTCAGAGAAGACTGTGAGTCATCTGGACCACAAAGAAGAAACTCAACTGATGCAAACTGCGGAGACTTCGTAGATCCGAAGGTCAGTACCCTCCTTAGGGAAAGAGTGAGGCCGTGTCACTTTGCTCTCCGATGTGAGCATGTAAATGCCAGTGATGAAGCAGTTGAATGCACCCTGCAGCATTTGAAGCTTTTTTGGTCCCTTTCTGTTAAACCTGTACTTTTCTGAAGGTTCCCTTTTCCATGTGATGGTCACACAGCATGTGGATGAAATGCTGCAATTTCTTAACTCTGCTTACTGATGGGGACAATAATGAAGTAGCATTATGTCTAGCTTTAGTCGTATTTGTGTGTATTTTTTCCCCTTCACAATTACACCCAATTAATTACATGTGGTTGTATTACTTTGCAAGCATATTAGTTTCTCATCCCAACAAGTCTCTACTCCAGTAACATGTTTTAATTGTGCCACTGCCCATAGTAATTAACACATTTGATGGCATCATTATGAAAGCTATTTACTTGATGCCAGTATGGGGTGTGATTTGAACTGTTAGCATGGCTTATGCTTGGTGTAGGGTGAGATTTTTTTTGTGGTGGTGGGAAAAAAAACTCCAGAGAAATAAAAAAAACAGAATCTGGTAATTTCTTCTGAACATAACAAAACCTAAGGTTTACCTAAGACTGGCTGCACCTGCATAAACAAATTCTAGAGATGATAGTGAAATCCTGGTGCCTTAAAGTTGTCAAACTTTCGGTTTTCTGAAAAGAACTGGAAAGGTAAATTGCCACCCTCAAATCTTGTGGCAGGGCCTTTTGCCTCATGGTTCATAAGTAAGTTTTGTTTCAAAAATTAGCATCAATCATTACATTAACCCATTTTGGTATAAGTGGGCTCTTTGAGCCACAAATTTGTTTTTCCGTTGCATGAAATGTCTTGTTTCAGTTTAGCAAACATAGATTAAATTTATAGCTGCTACCGCATAATAATAAACTGTTTAGTCTAATTCTATTATCTGCTTAATTGTATTACATACTCTGTGGCCTGTGGTTCTCAGCTTTGCAAATGGGCTTCTTGTAATGCAGAATAGTTTAGTTTTATTACATAGTAGTTACAGCTATGAACAGCAGTAGCTGGACCTAAAGTCCTGTAGTCCAGCTTGAGATCTAAGGGAATATATTTACATGACATTTCTGACTGCTGCAGTTCTGGAATGTAATTAACAGTGTTAAATCCGTGGAAGTTACTAACTCCATGACACTGAGGAGCTGTGGGTGCTGCAGGTGGACTCTGTGTCATGTAGCAGTCTGTGTTTGAGCAGATCTAGGTGAAAAATGTTCACCTGCTTATGTAGCGAAGGAAATTTTATCAGTCATATTGCTGAAGACTAACTTATTTCACAAATGAATTAAAATACCAACATAGGAGAAATGTTCTTGGTCTTACTTACAGATAAATAAAATAGTACCTTGCTGATTAAATTTAAAATAAAATGTTTTCCTGCTTTACTGTGGGTAAATAATTCTTGATGAAATTAAATTAGTCACTCAGTAAGAATTAGTGCTGCCAAACCCATAATGTTAGTCTGCAGAAATCTCTGCAGAATCCACCATGCTGCTCTGATACCTGACCCAAGAGGCTGTCGTTTCCTTGGTGTGCTGTTGGTCCGACAGGACCGGGGGGGTCCGACCAGCTCTGCCTGTGCCACTGTTGCTTGTTTGGTCATATTCTGTAGCACTGAGAACTCTCCAAATGGAGTGGAAAATACATTATGAAATTGGAGATCTAATGCTTCTCTCACTCTCTTCTAGGGAGGAGATGGTGGTGTTGAAACTTCTGGTGAGTAACTCCTTGGACTGTCTAAAAAACCTTTTGCAGTTACGCTGTCTCTTTCTCAAGAGAATATGATCTAGGGTAATAGAAATGATCATGTATTTGGAGGGAGAGGGCTTGGGGCTGTCCCTCAAGTCCTTCAATAATGCCCTGTCTCCTTCAGTGGAAGTGTTGCAATGGGGAGATGCAATGAAATGTCTCTGTTGGTCGTCAAGTTAAAAAAAAAAATCCCATTTAAAACAGACACATGACTTTTATAACAGTCAACTTAATGGCTTGTAACATAGCAAGTTTCCTTTTTGCTGTTGTCTTCTGGTTGGGGAATAATCAAGAACAGCTAATGTATCTGAAAATGTCTGTGTTAATGAGCTTTTAAGTTCCTCACTTTTAAAATGCCTATTTTAGCCAAGTAAATGCATGTGCATAATTTATTAAAAAGAGGAACTTCCGCTTAGCAGCATGAGGGTTTTTTCCTAGCTCTGAGGCTGGAAATCTCTCCTTCGTAAGATCCACATAAGAATAGCTTACTTCCTGATGCAAGGAATGTGTTTGTTGACAGAATACTCTGCTCAGTGCTACTTTCAACACCTATGACTTGTGGCAGATGAATGAAGCTATTAGCAGTTCCCTATCCTGAAAGGACTTCTGCTGGGAGTGTGACATTTTTTTTTCTAGAACACTTTATAACCACTTTTAAGTGCTATCTGTGACCAAAACAAGTCCTGCCTTTAGCAAACTGTGTCTTTCTGACCTGAATTAGCACTGTAATGTGGGCTGCTAGAGTCTGTGCCTCAAGTAGCAGGATGTGGTTTGACAGGAGAAATAAACAGATCTGAGGGCTTGGCTTTTAGAGCTGTTTACCCCCCCAGCTCTCCGCGGGGTCAGATGACAGCCTGCAAGCAGCGGTGTGACAAGAGGAGATGGCATTAGAGGAAACGGAAATTGGGCTGCCTGGTTTAACAATAGCTGGTGACTGACACTTTGAGTACAAAACAACATTCCTGACTCCTGGATAAGTTCTGATTTTCACAGGCATAGTGTTCATTGGCCTTCGGTTTTGTTTCTGGTAGGTAACAGTGGAGGAAGTTCTTGTCAAGTAGGAAGTAAATGTTTGCTGGGAGGTGAACTGGAGTCGTGTGCTCCCGTGGCCACGTGTCTGAAGATGAGCAAAATAAAATGAAAACAGCAGGCAAATGTCTTTGACTTGTGTAGTCCCACTGATAATATGGAGGAAAGAACCGAAAACTAACAGCTCCCTGAAATGGTGTTTTTGATGGATATCTGAGAATCTTGATGAATTAGAAAATCTATTTTTCCTTTTGATTGCTTGTATCTTTGCTTAGTGGAGTATGGAGTCCTGCTGAATTGGCTGTGTCATTTCACCGCTTGATAATCCTGCTGTGTGAAATGGCAGATATGAGTTAGTGAATATTGTAGTTGTTGCACGTGTGATTCTTGTACTTGGTGCTATGTAGCTGTTTCCTGGGTCGTCTTCAGATAAAAGCTATTTGCTTAGAAGTTCGCAGCATAATTAGTCTCTGTAACCAAAAGTTGTTTTTTGTTCTCAGTTCAGTATTTATTTTCCATGTGTAGCTCAAAAAACAATGCCAAGTGGGAGAAGCGTATTTATTAATCTTAACTGCCTAGAGCAAGAAAATCTGTTCCTTTTGCAGAAGTGCTCGTGCTTCATGTTTAGAAGCTGTGCATCAAGGTTTTTAATTGTTTGCTGTATATAGCTAACAAATTATTTCAGAAATGTTTTTTTGATAATGAAAGAATTCTAACTTTTGATCTGATCTTACTGCCTTTTATCATTTTAGTTGGTTATTAGGTTAGCAAACTGCTGTAACTTAAGTGGAGGGTACTAATGTGTATATCAGCTGGCTAAATGAGTCTGCAAAATTGAATAGGAACTACTTAGTGAGCCTCTTGTGCTAGTTAATTCTTGCTTCTTTAGTGATTCGGTGAGTGCTGAGTACTTAATGAATGTGACTAGCTGAGGAGAACTAGACAGCCCCCGATGGACTGTTACCATTGACTGCATTTGCATGAGAGACGAGAAGGTGATGTGTGGCTTTCAGTGGGCAGATCATCACCATGAGCACTTCATAGTTCTCATAAACTGCCTGCTTAAAGCATAAAACAACAGGGCATTCAGCGCTGTGAATAGTGGGCTTGGCCACAGTTCTGGGCTTGCTGAGTAAGCAGGCAGTGCTGTGCATGAGTAGCAGAAGCTTCAAGTTTACAGACCCTAGAACTGGCACTAACCCTCTTATTTGGGGCCTCTTTGGGTTAAGGATTCTGGTAAAGGATCTACAGTGTAGGTTATCTCTGGCTCTATGGAGACTGTAACAAGCTACTGGAATGCTAGGAGTGAGTGAGTTTAGATGCATAGGATTCAGTAGCCGTAATGTCTGTGGATTTTCAATGTGTGTGGGTTTTCAGAGTTTCTGATAAAATTCTACATCCAATTTTATTAAACTGAGTAGCTGTGAAATTGGAAGAAAGGTGCCCCTGTGGATAAGAAGCAGACAAAAGTAAACAGCAGAGGGTAGGGCTTAGTCGTTGCTACTTGGGTTGGAAAAACGAGAGGTGGGGGACAGTGCTGGGGTCTAGTTTTATTCAGTGTCTTCATCTGTGACTTGGAAAAGGCAATGGACAGTGAAATCTGTCCGTTTTGTGAGTGATACTAAGCTCTTTCAAGTAACCAAGTGTGCTGATGGCGACAGAATCTCCCTGCCTCGACTAAAGGTAGGCAGGCAAAAGGGCGCCAGGATAGTTCTTGGTGTAGATAAATGTAAAGCAAGTCTTCTGGAGAAAAATAATCTAAATCACCCCAGTTATGTGTTCAGCTTTGTGTACCAGTTAACTTGGAGGTCTTTCTTGAGCCTTGTTCCTGGCAGCTCTCCTTCTCCTGAAGCCATTGGCTCAGTCTTTGTATGAAGCCAGTAAAATGTTGGATGTCATCAGGAAAAGAACTAAATACAAGGTGTAATTTTGCCTCTGTAAGTAACAATAAGCCCTCATTTTGAGCTGTGCTTGCAGTCCTTGCGTAATGCTGTAGCCGGTGTGAAAAAGGGGCAGAGGAGGGTAATGGAAATGATCAAGGGGTGAAGCTTTTTCAGTTGAAGGAACCTGAGGGGGAAGGGGACCAAGAGTTGGGACCATCGTGAAGGTTGTGGTAAAGGCGAATGTGGAACTGTTTCACATATCTCCCAAAACAAGAACTAGCGACCATTTTGTGAAACTAAGATCTGTCAAAAATAGATGAAATACTTCATCATAAAGCTGGTAGGAAATTTTGGAAATTTCTGGCCTCGGGAGGCTGGAGGAAGACAGCACCAGAAGGTATGAAAAGGGATAAAAAGGGCAGGAGGGAGCTTCATTCAGCTAGTGAAGAGATATTCTCCTCCTATCTTGTTCACAATTATCAGGAGGAAACCCAGAGTTTTTTTAGGCTTTTGACTTTTAACTGATGGAGGTGATCTCTGAAAACATGTTCAGATGTGCTCCCTGTGCTCGCTAATTACCCGTTTGTCAGTGAATGTTACTAATTTGCTGCAGTATCTAAAGTGCTTCCTGGGAAGAATTCCGTGTGTGTCCTGTCTTCACTTGTGGTGTTTTGGAAGTATTTGAAATAGATGAAACTGTCATGTGCTTATTAAGAAATGCAGTATTTGAGCCTACCCATGCATGTTACTATGAGTTTTTCCTTACCCATATTCCACTGGAAGCATTATATGTGGGTCAGATGCTCTTCCCTTTAGACTCCAGGTATTAAACTGGGAAAGCTGATTGAATTTGAGCTCTTACAAGTACTGATGCTTTCAGAGCTTACTTTCCATTACGTGCTTAGACTCTAGTAAAAAATTATTAGGGTGGTCATGTGCTGACTCAGAACATGCACAAGACTTAATGGTAGCTGTTCATCAAAAGTAATTCGCTCACATCCCTTAATAGTAGCTGAGCGAATGTGACTCTTGAATGCCTGAAACCCAACTGTAAGGCATGACAGTCCATCTGAAAATACTTCAGACAGCTGGAAATCTGTCACACCAGCAGGTTGCAACAGCACCTTGAATGTAAGCCTGTAACCCTGGAGAACAATTTGAAAGAGTTGATCTTCTGTCTAAGCCAGAAAAGTCTCTGGCTTTCATCATCCACATCAAACACCTTAAAAGCTTCTTTTCTTCTAGAAAACACTGAGGCTGATGTAGAAGCTGCCCCAGGTCAGAATGAAGAAAAATCCCTGCCTGCTGCACCTGTTCCTAGCCCAGTAGCACCAGCACCTGCACCATCCAGGAGAAATCCACCCGGTGGCAAGTCCAGCCTAGTCCTTGGTTAAATCTTTCCTTTCCTGACTGTTCTGAACTCGTGTCTGTTTCTTTTCCCCCATGCTTGTGAACTGCACAACTTGAGCCTGACTGTACATCTCGAATTTCTTTCATTAAAAAGAAGCACTTTATGTACTCCATCTTTTTTTTTTTTTTTTTTTTTTTTTTTTTTTTTTATTATTAAGGGTTTTTTTTTTTTTTTTGTTTTTTCCCCCACTTCTGTCCTGTGTTCCCCCAGCTCTACTGGAAGTGACATGAGTGTTTTCTAGTGATAGACTCGAGGGGAAGCTTTCTGAGGTATAGTGGTGTATTTCAAAGGAGAGTAGATTGGTTCTAAGTGTGCTTAGAGGGTTTTTGTACTGAGATTTTTAGTACCCCTTAGCTTTACAAGGGTCTAGAATCCTGGTTAAAGAGGCCAGCAAACAATCAGCACGAGCAGTCCCTTCCTCCACACGGGAGCATCGGTGACCTAAAAGGCTTCAGTGGTGACTTCATGTGGTAAATGCCTTGAGTCCTGCTGTGCCATATAAAACATAAAGTGATTAGTGTACACCACGCTGCCTTTAACGAGAAATAACTTGATATTGGACTATTATGATGCAGGGTACGTGCCAAATAGAGGGCTGATGACCAGAGCCGCCTGTCCTAATGCTAGGAGGGGATTTGGGTATAAACAGACCTTATTCAGTAAGGGTGGAGTGGATCAGATAAGTAAAAATTACAGGGCATTTTTTTTTTTACAACTGACTCAATGCTGTGCATGATCATGCTGGTGCTTGACCATGAGGTGAAAATCTCATCCTTTAAAATGTGTGTTGTAATTTCACAAAGCTGGACTGTTGCTTAAAAGTAAATAATATAGAAATTTTGAAGCAGTGTTTCCTGTGTGGGTTTTATTTCATGACTTTGGTTCAGCTTTGTTCGCCCTGGTTCTTGGCTTGGCCTGCCTGCTGTAGCAGGAGGAATGGTGGAATGTGGCAAGAAGTGTTTTCCACCTTAACATAAGTGGAAGGTGGCAAAAAGGGGGAGTTCTTAACGTGTCTTGAGGGCACCATCACATGGTTCCTTGGAAGAAGAAAGTGTCTGACTTACTGCTGCATTTTTACCTTTTAGAACAGAGATACGTAGAACATGAATTTGTAAGTGTTTTATTCAACATTTTTTCCTCTCAAGAAAGCAGGGTAAAAGGAAGTTTCTTTCATGAAAATATATTGTGCTGTTGTCACCCTTCCCCTAGAAAAGAACAGTACCTAAAAATACTCCGACTTTCCTAGTAAGTTTTGGAGCAGCCCTAGCCTGAGGTGCCTAACCTATAAATCTGGGTTTGCTCCAGTGTGTGCCCTTGCTCTCCTGCAGCTGGGACTGTTCTTCCTTGTAGCTGGCATTAAATGCTGTAGGACTTCGGGCACATGCAAATCCTGTCCCGTTTCACAAATCCCAGAAGGGTTGAGGTTGGAAGGGACCTCTAGAGGCAGTCCAAGCTGCCCCAGAGGAGAGCGATAACCCTGCGGTTCCTTTGCAAAGCCCATGAGCAGCAGGACTCGCTGCTGCTCTTGAGCATGCAGGAGCTGTGGGCTGCAGAGCGGTCCCGAGCGCCCTTGGATCTGCAGCTCGGACTCGGCGCGGCAGCACCGGAGGAGGAAGAGGAGGCGCTTGATCCGCGCGCACCGAACGCGCTGGGGCTCCCACGTGGAGGCCGGGGCGGAGCTGGCGGCCGCGCCGCACTGCGCTGAGGCGGCCGCTGTGGCGGCATGGGCAGCGCGGCCGCCCCGCTGCGCGTGCTGGTGGACATGGACGGCGTGCTGGCCGACTTCGAGGGCGCGCTGCTGCGGGCCTTCGCGTGCCGCTTCCCCGGCGAGCCGCGCGTGGAGCTGGCGCAGCGCAGGGGCTTCTCGGTGCGCGAGCAGTACCACGGCCTGCGCCGCGACCTGGCGGTGAGCGCGGGCCGGGCTGCGCCGTGGCCGGGACTAGGCTGCCCCCGAGCGCGGCTGGCACCTCCGTGGGGCACGCTCCTGGTCCTGGGACTGACGTGGGGCACGCTCCTGGTCCTGGGACTGACGGCCAGGGGGTGTTTGGCCTCTGTCTTTTTTTCTCCCACATTTGTTTTTCTTTATGATTTTTCTTTCCCCTTTTTTCTCTCTCCTTTTATCCCCTTCCTTTTTTTCGCGCTCTTTTTTCACTCTTCCTTTTTTTCTCTCTCTCTTTTGTCCATTTCTTTCTTTTTTCCCTTTTTTCCCTCTTCCTTTTTTCCCCTTTCTCTCTTTTTTCCCCCTTTTTTAGTCACACCACAGCATTGTTTCATGCAAACAGACTTAATTTGTACAGTCATATATATTCTATAATTAGCAACTTCTTCCAGGGGGATTGCCAGCCTTTACAGGGGGACGTGTGTGGAAATTGAGTGGTTTTGTGGCAGAAATAGCTGGCTGAGACTATTTACAAACGGGCATTTAGCCTGTTTGTTGTGTACTCGCCAGCCACCCTTGCTGTGCATCCGCTCTAATAACTTAACCTGCAGCTCTGCAAATGTTGCCTTGTCTCCCTAGCGAGGCAGGAAATGTAATATATGGGTTTTACACAGCTAGTTAAAACTCACTTCTCCACCTTTCCCTCTGCATGCACTGAGAAGCAATGGGTGCTGTAGGGAAGTGAACCAGGACAAGGTTGTAAAAAGCGTGTGGTAGAGCCCACATCTCTGCAAATTGTTGCTGTTTTTTTAACCAACGTAATGTTTGATAATGACTGGGTGGATATCGGAGTCAATTTTAAGACAAAAACAGCAGCAATCTAGACTTGACGCCTCCTTCCTGTTGCCACAAGATAATCAATGGTCTGTTAGAAAACATACTTTACTGAGAAGTTTGTCGCTAATTTTGAGATCTGGGATTGAGCCTGTAATTCTTCCTGTGGTAAGTAGTGACTCTTCACATCCATTTCTCTCCTGCTCTGTAGCTAGGGACAGACTGCTGCAAGTGTCACTGCAACTTAACTGTACTCTGTTAGTGCTTGGCAGCTGCCTCTTGAAACTTGAACTATTCCTTGCTTTCATTTTTTTCTATTTATGCACATAAGTTGATAATTACTTAATTTCACATTGCATTAGACATTTTCTTTTAAAAGGATTGTATAAAGACTTTACTGTATTTGCCTATCTGATCTCCGGTGTGTGTAGCAGTTCTGTTGAAAGGGATTTTTGCCTTACCCAACAAGTGTTCGAAATGTAATATTTGGGGTCAGTCAGGACTCAATGTCCCTGGCAGCAGCAAGAATTTCTGGAATTATCATATGTATTGAAAACAGGAAAGCTTGGTAAGGATGCAGGTTCTCCAGCTTCATATTTATCTCTCTGATGGAAGTTAATAAGGGAATTTCTCCTGGGCAGATGTTCCAGTAACTTTCCTTGCAGCTTCCTCTGAAGAAAATTAGGCTAAATAAACAGCAGAGCTGATTGGATCTGGTAGCTCTTGTATTTGTACAGCTGACTTCCTGAGGCAACCTGAGCAGCAGGATAATGGCTTGGAGAATTAGCAGATGGTTCCTCCAAGGTAGGACTGAGGTAAGAGCAGAGCAAGCCAAGCAAGGGAGGGATGAGAATGAGGAGGAGCAATTTATTTCCTTTTTCCATACACTTCTTTTGAAGAAGTGGCTTCTGGTTTTGCCACTATCAAATCACATTTCTTTTTCCATCAAAGCCAGGCTCTGTGTGTGTATCATGGTGGAAAGTTGCCAGTTTCTGCTGTCTTTTCTCTAGGATAAAAGAGCTTTTAGACCTAAGTCCTGATTCTGTAATTGAATCTTCTCGGAAAGGGCTCCAGGGAATTGTGGCTGAGGTCAGGGAGGCAGTGCATGGAAATGGAGGTCTGGGTAGACCTGATGGCTGTGCCTGCACTTAGGCTCCTTACCCTCTTCCCATCTGCCTGTGGAATCAGACAAAACTTCAAGCTTCTGGTTTTTTTTAATACTTTTTTGATATTTTTGATGACTTTTTGAGTATTTTGATAGCTGAATGACACTCATCTAATGCTGATAGCTTCTCATTGCTGCTTAATTGAAATGTTTTTTATGTTCACATGCCACTGGTGATACAGAGCCAGGAGCTCATCAGCTGGGCTATGACAGCAGTCTTGTATAACTTCTAGGCAAAGGCCACTTGTGGAAAAATGCTGGCTTGACACTTCTCAAGATCGTTATGTGAGCCCGGGAAATATAAAACTTAAATGCTTTGAGATAGAAGAGATAGTGGAAGCTCAACTTCTCTGCATCTGGTCCTGGGAGCACCCTCAGCCCTTGGTGCCGCTGGGGCGGATGCTGCTGTGCTCGTGTGATGGATTGTGCAATAAAAAGAGCTGTCTGCTCTGACCTGCACTGAAATGCTCTGATTTAACACAGGCCACTGAGCAGTCCCTGGTTAGCAATTTTTTAAATGAACCATCCAGAGTTGGATTCAAACCAATGAACTTCCCAATAATAAAAAGTGCAAGAACGTCTTTTTGGTATATTAAAAGACTGAGGACTAGAAGCCCAGGAATTGCCTGGAAACTGTGTTTTTCATTTTGGAGATCAAAGGTGCCGCTATATCGCAATAATATTAAATTCTCTTTGTTTATCTCGCTCCACTTTTGGCCGCTTTGGCCTAGAAAAACATTGTTTCTGCAGTAATCTTGTTTCCCTTCAACTTGCAATTGCTGAAGTGATTATAGCTTTAGAAATAACCTCCTTCCCCACTTGTTTGTCACGAGGGACTTGCCTGATCTATGCTGCATCCCAGCTGCTTGCACCGAAGGAAGCAGAGGTATCTACCCCTGCATTCCCTGCCACAGTGTTAAAACTCTTTCAAAGCAGACTTGGTGCTGCCACGTTACTGCACAGGAACAGCTTTTGCCACGGGAATCGAGATCTGCTGCCTTGATAACTTTTGCTTTAGTGTCTGATTGAAAAGCAGAGAGCAGCACAGCAACTTCCCTAACTCTTCCATCCCCTTTCTTCCCTGTTGTTTAGCCTTTTAGGATTAAAAAGATTAACACTAAATTCATGGCTGTATTGTCCTGGACCTTCTGCTGGAGACAATAAGCATAATTAAAATTGAGTTTGAGTATTAATGCCTATGCACTCATACCTGGTAAATTCCTAAACCATAAGCAAATTTCAGCAAGTGTGAGAGAGGAGCAGAAGCTTCGCTTATTTGTGCCTCGAGTTTTCATGAGAGTTTCATGATTATAGTAGCGAGGGACCTGTGGAACTATGAAATGGGGCTACCTTTGTGATGCTGCCCATGGACTGCATGACCAGGACGCGTAGCCAGGATCAGATCCGCCTCAGTGCTCTGAACAGCCTGCCAGGTAGTAGCTTCTCATTACTATGTCAAGGCTAAGGTGAGAAATACTGTCATGAGCCTTGATAGCAAGTATCAAGACAGTCTGTCTCTAAACTGCCGGTGTTGGAAGGCTGTTGCGCACCCAGAGTAACTGGACAACTGTTGGGCACAGAGCTCTGGTAAAAGCACGTGCACAGTTTGGTTAATTCTCCTTATATCTCTTGCAGGAGAAGGTAGCCAGTATTTATGAGTCACCTGGCTTCTTCCTAGGCTTGGATACAATTCCAGGAGCCATCGAAGCGATGCGGGAGATGATGCTTATGCCGGAGTAAGGACACTTTGTGCTATGCAGCCCTTCTCTGTTATCTCATGTGCTTTCCCTCGACTGCTAATAAGGACTGTTTCTTTTCAGCACCCAAGTCTTTATTTGCACAAGTCCTCTCCGCAAATATGAGCACTGCGTCCTGGAAAAGGTGGGAGAGAATTTATTTCACTTGTTTAATGCTGCTTTTGCATGGCCTTGCTCTTTCATTACCACCCAAGTCAAAACTATTCATTTATAAAGGTATAGTAGCCTGCTAAGACTGCCAGGCTGGCTCTCCCCGAAGAGGGAGCTGCTCAAACACAACATAAAAGTGTGAGACTTGGGACTGAGAGCGCTACGAGTTGCCTGCCCTGTCGCAAGGCGCCCAAGCCCTGCGGTAGTGGAGCTGGAGTCTCTTCTTGCTGCCTCTATCCTCAGGTGACAGGCAAAGAACCACTGCAGCATTGTCAGGTAAGGCCAGTGCAACTTGCAGTGTGGCCCAAGGGCAATGGGAAAATCCTAGGGAATTTCCTTTATTCCTAGGGAATTTCACATCCTCAACTTGGAAAGGAGGGGAGGCTGCTATTGGAATTATTGCCTTCAAACAGTGCAATAAAAAAGGGGAGGATTAAACACTTCTAAACAGATGAGCACAAGCTGAGCTGCAAGCTCAGGCTGGACTGTGGCAGAGGGAGTGACAGAGACGATGAAACCACAGGTCAAATGAGTGTCCTGGGCCACAGCCAGGCTGCAGGGAGCTGCAGACAGACCTGGCTTTGCAGGGGAGAAAATTGCCATGCTCTGGCTGCCCTGAATTTTGCAATGGAAAAAGTCAATATGAAAGTGGTCCAATTTACTTATGTCTTATTTCTTGCCTCCACAGTATAAATGGGTAGAAAAACATTTGGGTCCTGAGTTTGTGGAGCGGATAATTCTAACGCGGGATAAGACAGTTGTGTCTGCTGACTTGCTCTTTGATGACAAGGATTCCATCCGAGGTTTGGGAAGCTTTGGCATCGCTTTCCGGGAGTCGGGGAGGGAAAGGGCGGCAAACTGCAGCTTTCCTCTCCTGCTCTCCCCAGGTGCAGAGCCGAACCCCAGCTGGGAGCACATCCTCTTTACCTGCTGCCATAACAAACACATTGAGCTGGAGCCACCCCGCCGGCGGCTGCTGTCCTGGGCCGATGACTGGAGGGCAATTGTGGAAAGCAAACGCAGGAAGTAATGCAAAAACACGGAAAATCCATACCTGGGAAGCAGGAAGCGCTCTGACCTGGGCAGAGGGGTTCCTGGGGTCCAGAGAAATGACCCGCAGTTGTTGCAAGACGTGCTGTGTGGCTGACTCCTCTCCAGGTTTCTGGAAAGTTGCTCTGTATTAAATGAGTAATCCCAGTAGAATTGTTACTGGTGTTCGATTGGTGTAGCTGAAGAGACTGAATAAAAGACAACTGTTGGATATCTTTTTAGCTCCCACAGCTTAACTGTCCCCAGACAATTGTTGGGTATCTTTTAAGTTTCAACAGCTTGAGTTGACAATTGCTGTAGGTGGAGGGCAGAAGGGAGGGGGGGGGAAAAAAAAAAAGAAACAAGACTAGGAAATGTGGGTATGTGTCTGCCAGAGAGCTCCGTGGGCAACAGCCAAACATTTTAAATTTTATATTTAGTCACTTTGGCTTTTGGGTTGCTTTTTGCATCATTCGCGGATAATGAAAGGAGATGGAGCTGGCTTCGGTTTCTGGCCCTTTTGCATTAATGAGTGGGTGAAGGCTGGGCTGCAAGTGCTGAAGAAAAAAAATTATGTGCTTATATAAAATTGTTTACACAGCATTTAAGTTAATGTTTTATTAAGAGTTGGTTTTACAAGACAGCAGTTCTTGTAAGCCAGATTGCCATGAGCTGGTTTTTAAGTCTTTACCTTTTTAACCAGTGATAGTGAAAGAAATGTACTTTTCCACTTCCTCATACGTAGCACAGCTATGGCCTGTCCCGTATAGAGAACTTTTGGCATGACAACAGATGACATCCTTAGTACCACAGAGATGTGATAACCCTGCAAGCTGCAGGGCCAGGGGAACACCTTCTTCTGCAGAAAGAATAAAGTTGGTGAGAATTCAGAATCATATAAAACTGGCCAGGAACTAAAGGGATGTGAACTGTCCAATAAAATGAGCATTAAAAGGCTACTTGCTGGGAAGGGTTATCTTTGGAAGCTAAGTGCTGGGCTGTCATCAGCCTGCTCTCCAGCACCATGACCTGTTTTATTACTAATTTTTTTGTTTGTCTAGCCTGATTCACATTGTAGCACTGCTCCTTCCTCTGTACTAATATTAAGTGCTAGCCTGCCCATCTGTTTCAAGTTGCTCTCCTCCCACTTGAGCAGACATTGGAAGGCCGGGAAGTTGAAGAGGGAGGCCTCCTAAGAGCTCCGAGCTGCTCCGTGCAGCTTCAGTCCTTGGGAAGAGGAATCCCCACGGCTGTGTGCTTGCTTAGCGTCTTGGCCTCTTCCACCTGCAGTGGCGTGCAGTAATCCTCGAGGAAGAGTGTGGCCAGGTTGCTCAGCCTCCTGTTGGCCGAGAGAGAGAAGCGAAGCATGCACTCGACCACGGGCAGCGCGGTGGTCTGCCGGCGCGACTGTGGCGTGCTCAGGTACATGAGCGTGGTCACGGCCGACATCACTGTCTCCTCATTGGGGCTGGACAGGCAGTTTATGACGGACTCGACCCCGTTAGCCTCCAAGATGTATTCCTTGTTAGCCTTGTCCAGGCACAGGTTGCAAAGGCCACCTGAAGAGCGGCAAGAGAAGGTCTGATTTAATGCAAGGCATTCCTCTCTCTCTGCCTTTTCAAACACAGCTTTAAGTCCACTGCTACAACTAGAGTCCTTTATTCTTTGTTACAGTTGAAGTATACGCAAAGATGGTGAGAATTACAAGATTTTAATTATCTGACTTTTCCATTTAATTATCTGGGATTTCCAACAGTACACTCCTTCTCCAGTATGTCATTAGAGGGCACTGTGCTTCTGGATGTAATGTCTTCCATAGAATGAGAAATACCTTTAATACTTAACCCAGTTGTGGTTACAACTGAGCAGTTTATAGCAAATGTTTCAGAAAAATAGAGACCAGAGATACTAAAACCAGCCAAGAGGCTGACAATATTCATAGTGCATGTGCAGTGTGAATATCTTGAGGTGCAGACATACTCTACTGCAACTCAATCAACAAAAACCTTAGAAATCAAATGTACTTAAAAGGATTGCCTAGAATCGCTTCCAATTAGGATCTGGCCCTGCTGTGTTTACTTAGAGCATGATGAATCACTGCAGGACAACTCCTCAGAGGGCCTATTAAATTATGGAGAACAAGTATTCCAGCAGTCTGGCTGTCAGCACTAGGAGGGGGATCCTGGATCTATCTGTGAATTGTACCAGGCAAGAACTTGCTTCCAAGGCCTCTCGCTATGGGAGGCACTGGGATAAGAACTCAGTGAGCTGCTGTTTTCTTCTGGTTTATAAAAGCAGGGCCTTGTGCTTGAGCAGAGGTGACACCCACCATGTGCCCTGCAGAGGGTCTGGGGCTGCTGGTGGCCCAGCCAGGCCTCTGTGCGCGCGGCCCCCTTACCCATGGCGAACTCCACCAGCGCCTCGCTGTCCTCGCCGAGCGCGTCCAGGAAGAGGTCCAGCACCTGCAGCCGCCGCAGGTGCTCGTAGTTCTGCGGGTCGTAGGCGAAGTTGGCCAGATTGGCCAGGACCTGCTCCTTGGCGTCTGTGGGGCAGAGGCAGCGGGTGGGCAGCGCGGCCAGCGCGCGGTCTCCCGCCCAACCCGGGGGAGGAGAGGGGCTCACCTGCGCTGTCCGTCACCTGGAACTCGGTGACCAGGGCCTGCAGGTACTCCAGCCGGCCCAGCTCCATGGCGCCCGGCCGCAGCGCCCGCCGCGGCCCGGCCCCCGCGCAACATGGCGGCTGCTCCGCCCCGCGCCGCTTCACCGGGCGGAGCGAAGGGGCCGCCACCGCCCCAGCAGGCAGGGAGGGAAGGCGGGAGGCAGGGAAGGAAGGCGGGGAGGAAGCGCGGCAGCCGGTCATGCTGGGCCCCCTGTCCCGGCAGCGCGGAGCGAGGCGAGGCGGCAGGGCAGGGGAGGCGGCGGCGGCGGCCATTTTGGGCCTGAGGCGTTGCGGCCGTTAACGGCTCCCGGGGCGGGAGAGGAGCTGCCGCCTCGTTTGTATTTTATTTTATTTTATTTTATTTTATTTTATTTTATTTTATTTTATTTTATTTTATTTTATTGAAACAGGGAGTTTGATTTTTGAAATATATTTTTTTTCTTTATTCTGCAAAAGACCCATGCTCACATCACCTAGCTATCTACTCAAAAGATTTCCAATTTTTTTTCCCCACTTACTTTCCTATCTGCACAAGTTTCCTGGAATTAGCTGTAATAAGCAGCGTTAAAATGACACTCAATGGTTTCCCCCTTGCCGTGGCGATGCTGATGTGATAACTGGGGTCCGTGTGGGAGCTGCTGGGACAGTAACACGGACAGGTACCGCCACAAGGACAGCAGCGTGTAGGGGGGTGAGGAGAAGAGCAGGAGGGAATAAAAACCTTAGTTTATTTTCTGCTATGCTGAGATGGAGGCTCTTGGGCTAAAAAAGGAAGGGACAACCAGCTGTTTTTTAACAAGCAAGAAAAATCACCTGGAAATGAAGCCACACAGCAGTGCCAAGAAAGAGGACTGAGTTCATTTTAAAAAAACAAAACAGGTAACTCCACCTCGGTTGTTCAATGTCCTGGTCTAAACTCAAAGCAGAGCGATTAGGTAACACCAAGTTACTGCTGCTAAAATGTAACCACTGTGATTGCAAACACTTGCAGATGGTTTCAAACACTGTTCATGTTGTGTAAACATTATCAGGTAAGTATACAAGTCATGAGTCGAGGTGGGCTCTTTAGAGGTTTGCAATTAAATCAGTGCAGCTTCTTCTGTAGGACTGGTAGGAAGCAGGTGCCATCTTTTGCATTACCTCAAACGTAGAAGACTTTTGCATTAAGGAAGTTGATTGTGGTTTGATCTGCTAAATATTTGGCATCAGTTACGAGTGTGTTGGGACCATAGCTGCTGTTAAAATGCGGCTGGACACAGTAAAAATATCCGTCTGTGGCCTCTTTAAGGAAAAGGTTGATCAGAGACACCTGGTATGAACTTCTAGGCTTGTGCTGTGGCAACAGCTTCAGAAGTTGTACTAGTTTCCAGTGGAAATGTGCATTTGTGGATGTGAATGAAAATGACCCAAGGGTTAGGTGTTACCTTCTTTATTTTTGTTAGAATAGTTTATTAGTGTATTAGCAAGTCTCTCCTTTGTGAATGGGTAAGTGTTGACATAGGTTAGAGCCATATCTGTCATTACAAAGCAGGTGAATGAGTAATGTGGGAAAGCAGGAGAAGAGAAGGCAAATATAGGGGATGTAGCCAATGTAAAGCCTGGGGATTAAGGACTTGGGTTGACTATGTTGGAGGGGTGTGAAGAAAATGACTATTGAGGGATGGAATGGCTTATATTGACACATACTGTATTTGTGGTGAGAAACAGGAGGAAATTTGCCCCCTGGAGTGTTTTCATAGGGAGCTGTGTTTAGGAAAGGCTCCTGTCTCTGCCCATTTCAAGTGTTTCAGGTGATGCCCTCCTGAAAAGGGCCCTCTCCAGGTCACAGTGTTTGGCACAACAAGAGGTAATCAGGAGGAGAGGAAAACCACTGTTGCCTCTCCAAAAATTGCTAACGCTGCTCCTTATGGCATTGGCCTTGCTTTGAGTTTGATCCCAGCTGGCTGAGAAACCCAAGGAACATTTTGCTTTGAATTTGACGTGGTGGAGCTGCCTCCTGGAGGAGAGTTTGATAAAGGTCCTTGGGTTTGCAGTCCTCAGGGGTTTTCCATAGGAATTACAGCATGTTGCTGGTGCTGCTTCGTTAGGAGCTGTACACTCGTTGCCTCTGTGCAGAGAGTTTGTCCTGACCATCCAAAAAGCTTGGCAGCCAGCAGGATTGGCAGAGGTAAGTGTGCAATGTGCTTATTCTGGCTCTTCACTCGGGCACTATTCACTGTATTGTTTAATGGTCTGAATGCTTCAAACAACTGCTATTTGCCACCGTGCTTAGCACTCGATGTGCTAATGCAGCTGGGGTTATTCACAGCCTCAAGGCTCCTCCAGCGACAGTGGCTCCCACCTGATGACACTAGCTAGAATACACTACATTTTCATGCTTTGGATTTAATTTCTAGCAGTTCCTTATGCATTATTAGCCAAGTCTTCAAACAGTACAACAAGCTCAAGTGATTTTGCGCTCCCAAGGCACATTAGTGTGTAAACTGACCAGGGCCCTTCCATGTTTTTCAATTCAACTGCCCTAGGAATTACACTGGCGAGGTATCTAAGACATATGAGGATCGTAGTCTTGAAATATTTCCGTGTGAACGTTCCTTGTGAATGTTGGGTTGCAATAAGGAAAAGTGCTTGTTGGGAAAATGCTCAGCTTGTAAAGTTAATGATATGCTTTTATTCAACAAAGGCAGCAGGGAGGGGTGCTAGGGGACTGCAAAAAGGATATTTATTTGTTTATTGATGGCCATTTTTTCCCCCCTGCTGGTTCTCAGAGGCTTCTAACCTGCCTGAGGTGTTGCTCTTTGTCCATAATTAAACCCAGCATGTTCAAAAAAGCTGCTTCAGGGATGGCAGTAATTAAGCTGCGGTTACCTTGCGTAACGGGATGTCCTTGAACTGTTGAGAAGAACTTTTATTACTTCATTTCGCTTGTGGGCCTCATGATTCATAAGACTTGAGTATTAATATTTCTTTACCATAGGTCTGAGAGAGGATAGTTTTTATACCGTGGCATTCTCAGCATGCGGGGCTCCTCCAAACCCACATTGCAAAACTCCTGCTCAAAGCAGCTGGGAACTCAGGCTGCAAATAGGTAGGGAAGGACTGTTTTCAATCTCTTTAAATTCCTTAGAATTTATTTTTTTTAGTCAAGAAAATAGGAAAAAGAAAAAAGAAGTGAACTTCACACTTGTAAACTGACTGTTTTTCTTCCCAGAAAACCTCTCTGCCTGTGAAAATAAAATCCCAGTGACCCTGCCTTGGAGTCTGAGAGATGACAAAGAGGTTCTACACAGCGCTCTCCAAACTTTCCCTCCCAAATGATTTTGCACTCTTGTAACCCAACTGAAAAATAGTCAAAGTGGAGATTTTTGTTGCCATGGCATAGGAGGAACTGCTCAGCTGCAGCTGAGGTTTCTTATTTACTTCTTCCCTTATCGTGCAGGAAGCAGAATGTGTCACGCTGTTTGTTTCGTTGCTTACGAGCCAGCGAGGCCTAAAGCCCTGCAGATGAGACAGTTGCTGTGTGGGGGATGTACTCAGCTGTTCTTTCGACTACTTTGCATTCTTCTGGGATGTGTTTTGATGTGCTGTCACTCAGACCCCGTCTTACCTGTTTTGCCCAGGATATTTGTAGCAAAAGGGAGATTTGGACCACTATGTCCCCATGTATCTGGAAGAAAATGGGAATGGTACCTAAAAGGGTGAATTTAAAATTTAAGAATTGCATTCAGAGAGAATGGCAATCTGCCGTTCAGCTGCCTGGCTCCTTTATTTGTAAGAGTGGAACAGGTTTGTGACTTGATGCCTTCTCAATGGTTTGCTTTGATGAGAAGAGGAAACCCCCAGTTTTTCCCTCGGAAAGTAGAGCGCTCATTGTTTCAGTAAGCTGAGAAGTACCTGTCCCTGTTTACTTTGTGGTTATGGACTATTTAAGCTTTCCAGAAATTAATAAACACTTGTGACTAGAGATTAGATATATCCGTCTCCCACTGGTCATTGTATTTGAGTGTATGTTTGATGAGGAGAAGCGAAGTGTTGCTGGTTCAGTAATCCTAGACCATGAGTGAAAGAAATTGCTATGAGCTGTGGGAACAGGAGCAGTTCTGAGGGACTGATACCTCCTGCTTGAAAGGCTAACTGGGAAGCTGTCATCGTCTTGGAAAGCCTGGGAGTCAGTTTTCCTTTTTTTTTTTTTTTTTTAATTCCCCGGTGCTTTCTCTTGGCTGGGAAATGCAGTCCTAATGCAAACAGTGGTTTTATTGCTAGGAGCTTGACATAACAGTTTTCAAGATAAGCTCTAAGGTTGAGTTGAAAGCTGTTGCTTCTGCCATTTCACTCCTTTCCTATGCTGCCTTTTTTTCAGATGGATTTGCTGCCTTCTGCCCGAGTGCTGTGTGAGATATGTGCTGATGTCAGATGAAAAAATGATATAAAATAAAAGCGCTTTTGCAGTTGGAGCTGATCCTGAGAGAGGCTAGAAGCTGATGCAACTCACGTGCTAGTACTTACATGTGCAGCTCTTGGGATTGTAGCCAGAAAAGCCACTTAAAATCAAGACAATGGGTGGATGTGAAAGCTAACACTTTGATACACTGACTTCTCTTGGTGTATTTTTCCCCAGTGGTTTCTTTTTGACAGGTGAATTACGCTCCTGCCAGCTTCTCTGTAATGAAAATGATAGTGTAGCCAAGGCTGGGAGTCTAAAGCCTGGGCTAAAGAGCTGTATTTCTTAACACAAGGGGGAAATGTGAGTGCTACGATGCCTTTGAATTAGAGCCTCTGTAAAGATGCACATAATTATTCTCAGTTCTAGAGTCTTCCTCCGCCTTCTTCCCCCTCAGTGACTGCAGAAGGAAATGAAGCTATAAATCATGAATACCTTTTTGTGGCAAATCAGAGAATTGGAGATATCACTAGTTACAAAATCCATCTAAGATTCTGTGATTTTTTTTTTTTTTATGCCTTGCGGCCAAAGCTTTGGATCTCCGTAAATGTCCGTGAAATGAAAAAAATCATTGTACGTTGTTAGGAAGAGTATTTGATCTTGTTAGAGACTTGCCTGATTTCAGCAACCCATACCACGACCTTCATGTAATATTTAGCAATGCAGGAAATAATAACACACTTCCCATGGAAAGTGTTTGTCTTCTTTCCCTCATCCCATAAGCAACCAGGAATCTTCATATGGCACCCAAATGGTGTTTTCAGACTAGGAAAATCAGTAAAGTTTAACATTGCTAGGACCAATAATACCTGTTTGTGAAAAAATCAACCTTGTGCTTAGCCGTTAATACGTATTTGCCAGTGCCAGCAACCGGAAGATGTATGTGAAATTCCAGTGACCTCTAAAAAACACTGGCTTAAACCCACTGTGAATCAACACAGCTTTTGTGTGTCAGAACCGGTTCCATGGCCGATATCCCACAGTTTGGTTTAGGAATGTGTGATTCTGTATGTCCTGGGGCTGGTGCTGGGGTTTGGGCGCAGCCTCAGCCGGTTGCTCACGTGGCATCCGATGCAGCCCCGTTGCATGGAAGTGCTGGACAGAAGGGCGATGGTCATTGTGGCAAGCAGGCAATTTTCTCATCCACTGTCAGTGTTGGGCCTTTTATAGCTTTATACTGACTACATAAATGTTTGGATTCATCTTTTTTTTTGTTGTTTTTCATATATTTGTGGTGCGGACCTCTACAGGAGGGGATTGTCTTTCTGACAGTGGTTCTGCTGATATTTCATTGCGTTGACATTTGGAAGAATTATCCAAAGGTGCATTGGAGGCCTCTTTCAGTTTGTTTTTTCTTTCCAGAGCACAGAAGCTGAATGCCATGAATAATGCAGCCGATATCAGGAAAAAACTGGACGTATAGAAGACACAGTGGAAATTTCTAGTTATGTCCACCAGGAAACCTGAAATAGGAATCACACTTTAGTCAAAGAGAAGATGCTTACTAAAGGCAACTGTATGACATTTATAGAAGTGCTAAACCTAAATCACTTGCCAAGCTGCCATAAATAAACATTGGCAGATGAGTTAAGTTTTCTTCTGTAGATTCTAGAGCAGCCCAGGTTTGGAGTCCCTGCTCAGGTGGTATTTGTGCTTCCATATAAAGCGTTTCTCAGTAAATTGAGAAATCAGGGGGAAAAGGAAGCTGTATTTTTTTTCCCAGACTCCTGATTCATTGTGTTTATACAACAGAGAGTCCTTGTGACACTGCCATTCACTGGATTTTGGCCTTCTTACACACCAGGTCAGAACACTGAGCAAATAAATAGAAAACTATCTCAAAAATTGATGTGTTCTGGTCTTTAAACTGAAAACTCATCTTATTTTTACAGCGCATGATCAGGGTGAGGAAAATTCACAGCACAGCAAGTATTATAACTGATTTTAAGTGTCTCAATATATAAAATATTTAGGAGAGTGGTGTATTAAAAGAGTATTAACTTGAAAGATGGAAAGCCCACGTTCAAGTAAAACGTCTGGTACTTCCTGTATAGGCTGCATGTATGGATGGATTACTGGAGTAACGTTTGTTCTCTGCATGCAGTCTTAGGTAAGAATTGCCAATGTTTCCTTTCATAGTGGATTTTCTTTAATAGACTTCAGGAGTCTAAATAAGAATGGAGCTGTTCTTACTATGTTTTGTTGTGCTCATCTGCCTTTACTATCAGGTATTCAAGAAAACATTTCTTTTTCACTTTGGGAAAAGTGACTGACATTTTAATGCCTGGGAATATAGCATGAAATACAGTGCGTATTGTCATCCCATTCTTAGAACACACAGATATTTTACTGCTGAATGATGCACAATTCATTGTCTGGAGGAGAGAACTGAAACCCAGAATTGATTCATGCTCAGGTTCGTGTTTCTTGCTTATCAATCAAATATGCCTCTACATTGTAGGAGCAGCTGTGTCTTCCACGGGTCACTTGGAGTGATCCAGTGATTTTTGAGTGATATATTGGATTGGAGGCAGCAATTAACTCCCTGTTGCCAGAGAAGAATGAATAAACTCTAGGGCTCGGAAAGAAGGGTGAGTAGAAGCATTTACTATAAGGCTTCTGAATAATGTAGAACCAGCAATACATCTGAACACAATAAATGTGTTTAACTGGATGTTTGCAGTTCTTTGAGACCTCACAGGTAAAACAATGCAAACTAGCAAAGCAGTGAAAGAGCTCTTAGACAGTAGGATGTAATTCACTGTAATTCTCTGTCTTCCTGCTGCTCCTGCGAGGGAGAAAAAAAAGAAGCTGCTCTCATCACATTCATGGCTATCAAAGCCACATAACAAATGGGTCACATTGTCACTGTTTGCCCTTGCTTCAGCGATGCTGGGGCACCTGTGGAGATGGCCCTTGTTCAGCTCTGAGAAGGGGTTGGGGTTTCCTTTGTGACTCTGCCTTTTATCTTGCACCCGCTGCGTAACTCACCTGCCTGCATGGGCTTGGGAACTCCCTCCTTCCTCTTCCTTATGCTCCCAAATGCTTGTCCCTAGGGAGTCTTAATAACCTATTCTTCCCCAGCCTGCTTTAATAGCTTCTCTCACCTGTGAGAGGAGGTCCAGTGAGGAGAGAGATACTCTCCAGGATAGTGAAGAGACCTAAAGCACTTGAGAACCTGTCCATGTCCACCACATCCATCAGCACCTGGAAGGTGAGTGCCCCGACACCGCTAATGGCTATGCTGAGGATGACACAGTAGAGGATGAGCACGCTGAACTTGGCTGAAATGACACAGATGAAGTTGCTGAGCCCAGAGAGGAGCGCAGCCAGGCAGAACAGGTAGATCCGTCTCCCTGTGAAGAAACTGAGGCCTGAGAGCAGCCCCGTCAAAGGGCGTATGAAAATGTTGATGAAACCAATAACTGAGACGAGGAGAGCTGCCATGCGTTCCTCCACCCCACTGTGGATGGCGTAAGGCACGAGGTAGATGTGGGGTAATGCAAAACCCAACATCATCCAGGTCATTCCAATAGTGTAAATTTGATAACCTTTGTTTTGGCAGAAGACATCAAAAGCCAGGTACTTCTTCAGCGTTTGGAAGCATGAGGTCCTCTTGCCTGGCTGGGCCTTTGGGTGGGGAGATCCTCCGTTGGCCAGCTGTGTCTCTTCTGCTTCTCTCCCTGGCTCTTCTGCAGGCCTGACTGGCTGCAGTAACGATTTTGACGCAAGCTGAACAGGTCTCATGATGGCTCCACAAACACAGCAGTTCAACAGTATCCCTCCGAAGATGAGGAAAGTGTTTCTCCAGCCCATCTCATCCAGCAAATACTGAGAAAGGAGCGGCCACAGCGTTAAGCCGAGGGAGACGCCCGTCGATGCCATGGCGTTGGCCAAGGCCTGCCACCGCACAAAGTAGTAGCGCAACGAAGTCACTCCTGCCTGGAAGCTGAAACACATTCCCAGGCCTAAGGAAAGAGCGAAATAAATAAATGAGAGACAGAGCATGATGCTCTTGTGGTGTCTTGCAAGGTGAAAGGAGTCCAAAGTCAGAGCATACCCCTAGATGACAACTTTTACCACAGGAGTGTTTCCTCTCCTTAAAACCCCCAGTGTTTAATGCTCAGTAGCCCTACACAGCAAGTGAAGAAGGATGTCTTAGGTGAATTAAACACTCCATGTTCCTAGGTGTACTGAATACCCTGATCCAACCTGACATTTGTCTGGGACAGGCTACTTTTCCTCAAGTTATGAAATTGTCCATTAGAAAAATACAGAGGCCCTGTATTTTTTTATATATTGCAGGCAGTAACAGTGCTGCTTTTCTGACACTTTCCTCAGGCTCAGGGAGTTTTGTGGTGCTTTTAACTCCATGCAGCGCATGCTGCTTAGCTTGCAAGGTCCAACAAGGCTCAGCTACAGAGCCACTTGGCTGCAGAAACACATTTCTCTGTGGGGGGGGCGGGAAGCAAAAGCAGAGCAACTGATATGTAAAGGAAATATTTGGAGAGGAAATGTTCCCATATGTTACTTCTGTTCAAAACCAATACGTTCTTTTGTTAGAAAAAGATACCTCCATGTTTCTCTAGACTGGAAGTGGTGAAAGATAAGTGCAGGGAACTTGCGAAGAAAGTTGTCCCAACACACTCTATTCCAAGATTGAAAACAGTTTTCTCAAATGCAGAAGGTTGTGAAGCTACTACAAAATACAGACACCTTTGCTGTCTGTCATTAGAATCCCATTGCTCTGCATGGCTCACAGGAGAGGTGCTTTCCAGTGAACTTGGGGGAGGCTGTGCCGAGCGGCAGGGTTTGATTCATCCTACTCATCAGATGAGTGAAAAACATGAGTGCTGGGTCTGGGCTCTGCTCGTTCTCCAAACTCCCCATCCCACCACCCCCAAATCGAGTGCAGCAGCCATATTTTCCTGCTCTGCCTTGATACTCACCGGTGATGAAGCCGGCTGTTAGGTACAGCTCGCTGAGGGACGTGCAGAAGGAGCTGGACACCATGCCCACGCTGCTGAGCAGGCCTCCCAGCATCACAGCGAAGCGGCAGCCGAAGCGCTTCACCAGGAGGCTGCACAGCGGCCCTGCCAGCAGAGGAGCACCAGAAAAGAAGTTAGAAACAAAGAATCACAGAATGGTTGAGGTTGGAAGGGACCTCTAGAGATCATCTAGTCCAACCCACCCTGCTCCAGCAGGGACACCCAGAGCACGGGGCACAGGGCGGCATCCAGGTGGGTTTTGAAGACCTCCGGAGAAGGAGACTCCACAGCCTCCCTGGGCAGCCTGTCCTGTTACCTTCAGCTCTGTTACCTTCACAGGAAAGAAGTTCTTCCTCATATGGAGATGGAACTGACTGGGTTTCAACTTAAACCCATTACCCCTTGTACCCCCCTGTGAGCCATGCTATCACTGGCCAGCACTGAGAAAGGTGGAGAAAGGAAATGTCGTGTGTGTGAGGTTGCCCTCTAAGACCTGCTGCAAGTGTCAAGGCTCCTCGTGCAATTTAGTCTGTTGACCCCAAGTGTTGTCCTAGCAGCAACGTTGCAGAGAAGTCAGAAAGAGAAAATTTGTTCCTTCATCCTCCCAACTGATTGGTCTCCTTGTGAGCTGAAGGGAAAGTTCCTGCTTGGTTGGTGGGCGTTAGGTAGGATCTCTAAGCTTCCTTATGATAGAGTGTAGGTAAAAGGCTTGGAAATGGGATGGAAGAAGGGCCTTCAAGCATACTGCTGATACGATGTTCTGGGAATTATTTGAAAAAGGTTAGGGCTTGGACATGGACTTCTGAGTAAGGGGCTGTAAGCAGGGGGCTGTTTCTGCTTCCACACTCATTTCACTGTTTTCCAAATATCCTGCCAAAAAATTGTCTGAATTTCCCTTGGCTCCCCTCTACCTAGATGAAATTCCTTGCAAGAGGAGGCAGATCATCTCTGGAACGAATCAAGGATAGGAGAAAAACACATATCCCTGAGGAGGATTATGTCAAAATGAATGGAGATGCATTTTCTTGTGTTGGAATCCATCTATGCCTCAGGCCACGGCAACCAGCTGCAGCTTGTGGAGTCTTGCAGCAAGTCATCCTCCTGGGATCCTGCAAGTCATCTTCCCAGGAAAACAATCAGCTGTTACTGTCAGCACAGCTCTTCCCACGTGCCGGTCCTGGCATAGCTGGCGAGGAGAACGGCGTCCACTTCCAAGAGGACACGGGAGCTGCCCACACACATGCCGGTCCCGCACCCCTGCCTCCGGCACAAACATCGCAGCGGCGCGAGCGCGAATCCGGAGCAGGTGAGATCCTATGGACAGCCCAGGTCTGCCCGCCCTCAGCAGAAACCTGTTTTGTTGTTGTGTGCTGCCATTTCCTAAGAAGTGAGTATGTTGTTTCATCCGGAAAAAAAAAAATATGAACATGGATGGAAGTGTATGTTTAAGGTCAGTTAATTCTTTAATTTTCACAGAGTTAGGGTGAATTCTGCGTGATTATGCTACATGGCAAACCTGGTAATATTGCATATTTAGGGGTCTTTATTTGGGGGTAGAAGATGAGCTCAGACTCGCAGAACGTCGTTGGGAAACACGCTGCTCTCTGCTTGCTCCAGTAGAAGAGGAGCTGAACAGAGAGCTGCTCTTTCTGCTCCCATGAGGATCCACAAAGATTTCCAGATTTTACCTGATTTTCTCTGTAACTTATAAGGTAAAAAAAGCAAATTCAGCACGGCTTGAAGCTTCAGAATCAGCCTTCAATCAGTGTGGGAAAATACCCTGTGGTATCTTTGCGACTTAAAACAATGTCTGGTTTGAAATGAAATCCCTGGAGTCCAGCAAACAATAGAGGGCCATTAAAATTAAGATTGCAACTGCCGTGTTTTGATCAGCTGTGGACATTTTCACCTCGGACTTCAACTGACCTTTGAAAAAGTAATCATCAGGTTCAGCAAACTGGGGGCTGCGTGAGTCGTCCTCCTGCTGAAGACCTTGCGATTGGTACTGCTGTTACCCCACCCCACGTTGCCAGAAATGCTAACTTGAATGCTCCAAAATGAGGAGGTCAGTTTTAAAAATCAAAAGGGTTTTTCCTTATTTGTTCCTGCTGACTTGCTTTTTTTCTTTTTCGGTCTCAAATGTTATTTCTCCCTTGCTTAGGGCTTTTGTGCTTTGCTGTGTGAAAATGATGTCAGTAAAACTCCCGCATTGGTGCTGACGTGAGCTGGAGAGTGACGTGTGCCTAAGGAACGAGAAACAGGAGCCTCGAAGGGCTTGAACTCTTGCATTTCCCCCACTAAGGACAGTCATAGGCTCCCAAGGCCTCTCAAATGATCCTTATTTCAACATAATTACCCATGGCTTTTACCTAGGAGCACATTGCATGGGTAATAAGCTATGTTTGGCTTAATAAGTTATCAGCTACTGTTTGCACTGTGCCTTTCCCTGCCTCCCTCAGAGCTCACTGGGCTGAGGTGAGGACTCTCCTGCACGCGAGCGTCTCACTTGACTAATGAGTCTGAAAATGGAGTTTTCTGTCATTTCCCTGTGTATTTACAAATTTGGAAACTTATTTTTTTTTCTTTCAGTTACTCTCAGTTCAAAAGACTAAAGGAGAAGAGAGAAGAACCTATAAGAGGTGCAGTAGCAGAAAGCTGTTTTGGAAAGGGTTCAAATGCCAATATGATGGATGCAACCTAGGAACCTGAATCAAGTAGAGCCTGGATCAAGTAGAGCCTGGGTCACTGCAGAGACCACACAAGTCACAGCAAAACCCATCAGGTTTGCCCTGGGAGGGGATCTTTCCTTTCTGATTTTCCACTGTTTTTACTCCTTAGTTTACAACTGTGTCGCTCCTTCTTTATGCTCCTGGAGAACAAGTACAAGTTACTGCTGTAAGAGCCTCAAAGGGATAGGATAAATGGTGAGCCAGGCAATGGCCAGCTTGTAACTGTGCTGGTTGTGCCTTGTCAAACTACTAGTGAGTATAATTAGCAATTATCTACCTTAGTCTGGTTTATACCTTTGTATTTCTTTATCGCTATGCGCTATCTTTCACTGTGGTTCCAACCTCGAAATTCTTTCGCTCTTCAAGCAAGTTGGAGGGCTGCTATTTTTCTGCTGACGCTGCCAGATTTGTCCTGCCCGGCTGGGTTGGGGCTGAGCTACACGTGGGCCTGGGGATCCAGGGCTGTTTCCCAGAGCGAGCGGGTGCTGCTGGGCTCCCTCGCACTGCAGCGGCAGCAGGGCATGGGCATGGGAAGCAGCACCAGGAATGCTCCTTTTCCCCCCTTGCAGCCCCACGGCTGCTGCCCTCCCGCTGTGCCCGTTCCTCCCAGGGCCGCCTGCCCTGTGGCCGCTTTCTGCGTCTCTGCCGTGGCACCGGGAAGGGGCAGCCTCCCGCTCCCGTGTCAGGTGGCTCTCGGCCAAGCCCTGCACCGGGGAGCGTGAACCTGCTGTGGCCTCGACATCAGCATGACTCAGACCTTCTGCACTTTTATTTTTCCCTTGCTCTGAAGTGTCACCTTTCACCAGCACAGGAGCAGGGCGTGCATGAGCCAAGGGCCTCACCGCGCAGTCTGCTGTTCTCAGCATGGAAATACCAGGCTGGATGGTTTGGGGGTTCCTGCCCCACATTTTGTATGGGGAAAGGGAGCCTCGTGCCCCTCATGGTGGAGGGAGCCCCAGCTCCCACCCTGCTCCTGTCCCACAATGTCCTGTGTCTGGGTCACCTCTGTCCCCCATCCCTTCCTGGGCACATACTTGGTGCCACCACCTTGTGTCCCACTCTCCCTGGGGGAAATGCCAAAGCCTTTGGCACCTTGGCCACCCCAGGGAAGGTGCCTGCTGTGGGGCAGGGGGAAGGGGATGTGCCACCTTTCTCCAGCACGGGAGCAGGGCACACATGAGCCACGGGTCTCGCCAGATCCTTGGCTTTGGGGTGGCCTGTTGGTGGCATGAGCCTGGGGGCTGAGTGTTGGGGCCCGGTGGCTTCAGGTGGCTTTGTCACGGGTCCCCCCAGCCAAGGGTCCCCACTGTCTCGCCGGGATCCTCCGGGCAGTGCGGAGGCCTCGCTTACCGCCAGCATGCAGCACAGCCACCATGATGGAGGGGAACCACGACGTCTCGCTGTTGGAGGCGTGGAAGTCGCGCTGGAGTTCGGTGAAGAAGATGCCGATGCAGGAGGGGAAGCCCAGCGTCAGCCCCTGCAGCAGCACCACGGCGAGCAGCACCATCCAGGCCCAGCCGCGGTCCTGCGCCTTGGCGGCGCCGCGCGGCACCGCTGCCCGCCGCGACATGGCCCCTCGGCGTCCTGGGCAGCGCGCGGGGCTACCAGGAGGCTCCAGGGAGCAGGGCCCGCCGGGGCGCCGCGCTCGGCCCCAACGACGGTGCCTTCACGCTTCTCATTTCTCCCTCCCTCCCCGTGCCGGATCCTGGCAGCGAATTGCCGGAGCGACGGGCGCCTTGCCCTTTTATATTTCACAAGACGGCAAGCGCGGCCAGGTACGGGCCGGACCACACCTCCCGGGGCGAGGAATTGGCCTTGCCCAGGGCCCGCCCTGCTTTTCCCTTTCGCCCGCTTTCATCATGCGGAGTCCCCTTGCTGGCAATTGCTAAGGTCACCAAGTCCTCGGTGCATGAGGACAAGGAAAAGCGTGCAAATGCCAAGAAAAAGAGAACTGGATGAAGCCCAGGGCTGAGCTCGTCGCAGACCTTTCTAGAAAACTGCTCCCCTTCCAGTCGCAAGCGCTGGTGCTGAAAAGCCCCTTTTTTAACACCATCAATTGCTCAGGATGCAGTGATCCCCCTTTAGGTTTTTCTTGCTTTCCCTCTGTTCAGAGCTGGAGCCTCTCCCGAGCTCCCGCATTGGGTGTCGCTGAGCCCGGCCATGGGAAGCGCAGCACCCGGACATCCCCGTGCGCTGCACGCCACTGAACGCGCATAAAGACACGCAGAGCTGCCTGGCAGCCGGACGGGCGTGCTGCGTGGGGCGGGATTTCCCCGCGCGACGCTTTGCCCCCAAAGCCGCTGCTTGGGGACGGGGGAGCCCGGGCTCCGCGTGGGCCCGCGCCGTACTCACGGGGCCGCTCCGTGTCGCAGGCCGCCGGGCGGAGCGGAGGCGCCGCGAGCCCGTGCCCACGCTGCCCGTCCCCGCGCTGCCTGTCCCCGCTGCAACGCGGCGGCCGCCCCGGGCTCTCCGGAGCCGGCGGCAGCGCTGCTGTGTGCGGAGCGCGGCGCCGCCTCGGCCCGCTCCCCCTTTGTCCCCTGCAGCCGGCAGGGAGAATGCAGCCAATTCGGGCGCTTGTCTCGCTGTGGTGAATTCACTGAATCCCTAAAACCTCTCCCTGGCAACGGCGGCCCTGGATGGCAGCGGCCGCGGGGCTGGCGACGCGGCGCTCGTGCAGCGCCTGCTCCCGGGGCTCTTGTGGCGCCGCGTGACAGGGGGAAGCCCCGGGGATGCGACGCTGTCATCGTGCACGAGGGAATCCAAACCCTGCGGCATCCCTGCCGTGCCTCAGTTTCCCGCAGCCAGGATGGCCACTGCACATGCGGCACAGTTTTTACCAGCCTCCCGACGTGTTTTTACCAGCCAGGCTGCCCGCAGCAGCTTGGCAGGGACCCGGTGCCCGCAGCCGGAGGCGAGCGGGCCAGACCGGGCAGGAAGGAGCCGCCACCGGAGACGCCCTGGGGCTGGGCTGACGCTGCCTGCGGCTGCTGCAAACAGAACCAGCAAGAGCGAAAGCGGTCGAGGAGGAAAGTGCTCCAGGACCGGCAGATGCCGGAGCAGGGAGCGAGCGGGCTCATGGGAGCAGGGGGTCACGGCCGCCTCGTGCTTTGGGCACGGATGTCGGCGGCTCCGCGGGCCGCTCCGGGGAGCAGAGCCGAGTGCTGCTGCGGGAGCTGCCGCCTGCACAGCGGTTTGGGGCTGCCGGGCAGCTCCCTTTGCCTTGTGCCCAAGACTGGCTCTGCTCCAGCAATGGGATTAGCAAGGACTTGTCTGATGGACTGAGGCGGGCAGAGGAAGAGGGTTTTGGCTTTTTTCTTTTTTTAATATTATTTTTAGTCAGGGAGACCAAACACTGCAGTAGTGGCACAATCGCATCCCTGAGACCAGGGTGGTGACAGGCTTGACCCACTCTAAACAACCAGCTTGGCCTCGGGGCCAGGACAACAGGGCTACCTCAAAGCACTGCTTTATCCTGAGGGTTTCCTAAGAACATCCCATAGCATCACCCCGCTGTCCTTCCCCCACAAAGGGAGCCAAGGTCCCAGAGCCTCTAATTGGGCCTAATTAGCCTGAGCAGCCCCATCTGGGGCTGCCGCCCACCTTGCCCCCATGCTGCATTTAAGCTCAGCTCCTCAGCTTGCTCCTTGCTCCAGACTGACCTGTCTCAGCCCAGTTCTGATACTGGTGCTATCCTACTGCTTTTCACTCTTTAATCACCATTAAAAGCAGGGACTGATTAGTGCTACCAGGTGAGAAATCCCCTGCTAGTGAATCATTGGACCAGCTGGATGCTGGTCAGGGAGCGCTGCTGCTTGGCATGGAGGTGGGAGACGTGGGCTCAGGAGGCAGCTGGCACGGGCCTGTACCGACAGCCTCCCTGGCATCGGAGGAGCCTGGCGAGATGCGTCTTGTCGGGCTCTCACCCAGGCACCACCTTCCTGGGGGAATGGCAGGTCCTTGTGTGTGTGTCACCCCACAGCTGCCTCCTCCTGCAGCTGCGGTGACGGGGCAGCCTGGAGAGCTCTGCTGTGCCCCGAGGGCTGCATGGGACCTGGGAGGCTCCTGGTGCAAAGGGGATGCTGCATGTGGGCAAAGGGAGGAGGGTGACGCTCTTTGAGACCATCTCTTTTGCAGAGAAGGGGTTGCCCTAGGCCATGAGCTGCCATCCCCCTGCCACGCCAGCCCCCAGCAATCGCACCCGCCGCCTCACACGCAGGACCTTTAATAGCGCCCAAAAAGGTGGCGGGGAAAACAAGCCTCTACTCGGGGTGTCGCTTCAAGGTGACGGAGCCGCCGCTGCTCACCATGAAGGCCGGGTACAGGGGCTCCGTGAAGGTGGCCAGGAAGCGGTAGATGAGGTTGGGCGTGTTGGTGATGCCGTAGAAAGTCAAGGAGCCGGCGGCGTAGTCGAGGAAGACGCCGATGGTGCGGTAGTAGCCGCCCTTGAGGGCGGTCTGGACGTTGTCGTGCCAGGCGGAGAGCTGCAGCGAGTCCCACTCGAGGCACCACGAGGCGCTGTTCCTGCCCATGAGGTAGAAGACGTGGCTCTTGCCCGCCTGGCGCTGGCGGCTGTACGTGGCGCCCAGGCAGAGCCACGAGTTGGACACCTCGGCCTCCCAGTAGTGGCGGCCCTCGCAGAGGCTCCGCGAACAGGCCACCTGGGGCCAGCAGCCGAAGCCCGGGCAGGAGGCGACGAAGGCGTCGAGCAGGATGCACACGTTGAGCGCCGAGCGCGTCTCCTGCAGCAGCAGCAGCTCCTCGCTGGCCGTGCTCGCGTCCCAGTTGAGCTCGCAGTAATCTGCCTCGCCAGAGGGACGCCTCGCTTAGACCCTCTCCTGCTCCCGGGTCCTATGGTGTTTTGTAACATCTACAACCCTCCTGCTGGCCCGCCTGGCGCTCCCCTGGGGCCCTTCTGCCTGGAGAAGGAGTCTCGCTGTGTGTCACCCCATGGCTGGTTGTTGCTGTAGGTGTAAATCCCCCTAGGTGTGTGGTGGCCCGTGATAGGTAAAATAGCCATGGTGTTTTGGGAGGCTTTGCACCCATTTGGGGAACCCACTAGCTCTGGGTGCCTGGTAGCACAGCAGGGCCCTCCTATCCCTCTACCCTTGGAGCTTGGGATGACAGAGCTCGGGACCCAGCTCCTCCCTGTCTGCAGCCATCGTGCCAGGAAGGCTGGAGGCTTTAAGGGTTCCTTTTTACATCTCCTCCTGTAAATAACTCCCCACTAAGGCTCAGCATCCTGTTTGGGGTGGGCAGGGAAGGACCTGTCAGGTACTGCAGATGTTCCCCTACAATCCATGGAATCTGGTTGTAGGGAGCCAGCCGGGCTCCAGGTTTCCAGCCAAGAGCAGAGGCTCTGGCTGTGCTGCTGGGCTGCTGCCCCTGCTGGGTCCTGCTCTGCCTCCTGTCCCGGGACGGTTCCTCCAAGCAGGGTGAAAGCAGGGCCCAGAACCCACAACAGGGCCGAGAAACCCCCCAAAGGTGCCAGCACCTACATTTTAGGAGGCTCTTCCTGTCTGTATCTGCAGGTACAACTTCGTTGTTCAGCATGGTGATCCCTGGAATAGATGAGGTGAGAGCTGTTCATCCTGCTAGGAAGCACAGTTCAGTGATGCTTAGGGCCTCTGGGTTGGAGGGAGACTCTGGGGACAGCAAAACTGACCACTAAGCTCTTGTTTTACAAGCATAAATTCATCATGGAGACTTTGATATGAACAAAATCCTGCTTACAAATCCCGTTCTCTCCACTTTGCATGCATTTCTTTGCATTTGAATTGGCAAAATGGAGAAAATAAAGGTTGGGACACTGGAAAATGGGGATATTTTTGCGGCATTGCAAAGATAAACATTTGTTGCACCAGAATCTCCAAGACATTCATGCAAGGTTCCCCAAGGCTTGGGAACAGGGGTGATCCTTGGAACAGTTCTTGCTTTCCTCACTTTTAGCTGCTACCATTTGAATTCATCAAGATTGTCGTGTTTTTCCTGCGGCTGCCACAGATGTGCTGCTCAGGCAAGAGCTAAAGGAGGAAGGCGCTCACCTCTCCCAACAATTTTGTTGACGAAGCAGAGACCAACTGCTGCCACCTGAGTCTTCAGCTCCCCGAGGCTCTGCTTGAGGCCCATGAAGCTCGAGGACTCCTCGCACTTGGGGCTGAGGACGGGCTTGCTGCAGGCTGCCATCTCCTTAGCTTTGGAGAATTCCTAGGAGTGACAGAGGCTTTTGCTAGTAGCCCTTACTGTAAGGCCAGGTACTGGTGCTCACCTCTGTCAGGCAGCCCACAGCCTGGTGGCAACGGCTTTAAGACCCCAAAAATATTGGGGCTGGGAGAAACCAGCTTGTTTCTCCACCCCTGCAGAGGATAGGGTGCGTAGGGGTTATTTGTCTGGATGAAAGTTGGAATAAACCTTCAGCAGCTGCCTCGGAGCCAGATCTAGGTGGAGGGACATGACTCCCTAGCTAAGGTCTCTGTTTCCCAAACAAGGTGTAAGCTGGACTGGAAACATCTACAGGCTTTTTGCCTGCAAATAGGTCGAGCCTGATGACTTTGCATGGGGCGCAAGTGGGGGGGTTGATGACTAACTGACCTTCATCTTTACGCCGAGTGCCTGGGGCAAAGCCTGTGTTGTGCAACACACGTTTACAGCTGTGCCCGGACCTCTGTGCTGCAGTGACAGTGTGGGAGGAGGGATGTGGTGGGGGATGAGGGATGCAGCTGTGGCTTTCCCTCTTGCTCCAGAGCCCATCCGAGAAGCAGGACCCAGGTGGTTCGCGGGCTCTGCTAAAGCCTCCTGCCTCTTTCACGGCAGGTCGGTGTGTGTGTCCGCAGACGCGAGCAGGCAGGTCAGGAGAGCAAACGCGTGGCTGTGCTCCGGGCAAAACTGGCCCGTGCGGGAAGTGGCCCTGGCTCGCAGTGACTGAGGTGGGTGTGTGGCGGTGGCGAGCGAGGGGGCTGCAGCCCCCTTTGCTGCTGCACTGTGCAGCCCCTTTGTAATGCAGGAGAAGGCAGGAAAAAAAGAGAATTCTCAAGTCCTGCCAGGCATGGATGCGTGTGCTACTTGTTGACATTGCCCCGTGGATATTGGGAAACCACAGAATCCTTAAGGTTGGAAGGGACCTCCAGAGGTCATCTAGTCCAACCCCCTGCACACACAGGGTCACCTAGAGCACGTGGCACAGGGCTGTGTCCAAGTGGGGTTGGAAGATCTCCAGAGAAGGAGACTCCACAACCCCTCTGGGCAGCCTGTTCCAGGGCTCCGTCACCCTCCTCAGCAACGTTTCCCCCGCTTGGCTTCCTGCTGGCAAAGCCCCGTGGCGTCTGGAGAGATGTGTCCGGAAGCGGTTGTGTGCCCGGCACGTGCTGTCGCCCGCCTCACCTGCCCGAGCTGCTCCTCGCTGGCGTCCTCGAGGAGCTCCGTGAGCCACGTGTCCTGCTTGCGCAGCTGCTCCAGCTTCTCCTGCCGCTCCTGGATGGAGTCGCCCAGGCAGAGCAGGGCGGCGTGCTCCTCTTGGTCCAGGAAGCCCAGCAAGTTCCTGTGGAGCTGCCTGAGCTCCTGCAGGATCTCGGCGAAGCCCCGGTTCACCTCCTCTCGCGCCTGCTCTACCACTTTCTGGGAGAGGGAGACACAGGCTGGGAGCACCAGATCTCCCCCTGCAATGGTCCCTCTCAGCTGCTTTCTCCAAAAATGGGCCCTCTGGGCTAATCCTGGATCATTTGCTGTTAATTACAGGAGTCTTGGGTGTCTATAACACACAGCTGCCAGAAGAGCAGCGGTTCTATCCTGGAGGCACCAAATCCATACCCGTTTAGCAGGTCCTTCATATGCTGGATGAGGTGTCACTTGAAAAAGCTCTTAGATAGCCCCTGCCAGCAAGGCTGGCTCTGGCAGGGTGGACTTGTGTGTGGCGCAGAAGCGGGGACCTTACCGTGAGGTGGATCACCCTCGCTTTGTGCTTGAGGCTGTCAGAGGCCACCATCAGGATCTGGTTCTCCAGGTTGGTTTGTGCTTGCTTGATCTCTGCCTAGAAAAGACGCCCCACGGTGTGGTTGGGTGGCAGAGCAGGTGCCGCTCGCTGGGCCCGCGGAGCAGTGCCGGGTGCCCAGGGCGCAGCACCGGTGACGCGGTGACGGACCGCTCTGTGCGGAGTTCCCCGGGGAGCCGGCTCCCGCTCACCAGCTGCTTGGATCGCTCTGTGGGGCGGCCGCTGGGCTTCTGCGCCCCACGGCCCCGCGCGCGGCTGTCCCAGCCCTGCGCCGCCGGTTCCTCGGAGCACGCCGGGGATTCCCAGTCTCCGAGGAGCTCCTCCAGCCAGCGGTTGCCGAGGGCAGTGTCCGAGCGTTGGAGCTGGATGCGGTCCCGGCACAGGTGCCCCATGCACCGCAGGCAGCATCGCGGTGCCCTCTCCTGCCGGGAGGAGCTCGGGTAAGAGGACAGCGCTGCGTCCCCACCGAGGGGACCTGTGTCCTGCGCCGGGGCCCCTCCTTGGCGAACGGGGCTGCCTCTCCTCCTGGGCTGATGCTCTGGCGGAGCTGAGGCTGGGAAGCGCCGGGGGGCACCTACCTGCTCCATGAGGCTGCCCATGGCAGCGAGCGCCGCCGGGTCGTGCGGGGGAGGCTCTGGGGGCAGCGCCCGCCCCGGTTCCGCAGCGCGCCGGCCGGCGACATCACAGCGCGGCCCGTTGTGATGCCACGCGGCTCCACGGGTGCCATGCGGCTCCGCGTGCTCCGGGCCGCTGCCCTGGCCGCCTCCTTCCACCAGAGCCTTCCGCTGCGCCCTGCTCTGCCCTGTTCCCCTTTCTCCCTTTTCCTTTTCCCCAGACCCAAACCAGCCTGCAACTGGGAACCACCCGAGCTCCAGTCTCTCTTCCTTCCTCCCTGCTGCTGGAAACCGGGAAGGACCTGAAACCCCAGCTAATGCCCAGCTTTTGGAAGACTCAAGAAGGGGGAAGGCAGCAGCGCTCTGGGCAGAAGCAAGAGAGCAGTATTGAAAACACCCGCCAAGGTCTGAGCCAAGTCCTCGTGTCCAGGACAAACCTTCAGGTAAGGTGCACTGCGTTTTCCCGTGTTTTGCTTTTATCTTGGCACTAGCAAAATTATTTTACCTTCAGCCTCATGGGGGGCCTCGTGGTTGCATTTGGAAATGGGGCCTGGTAAACCCATGTTGTTTAGGTTTTCTTGTGTTGTAGAAAGTCAGGTTCAAGCAGGACTCCAGAATCCAATAATGTTCTCCTCCTTGCAAGTCTGTTAGTCTTAGAGGTACCTAATTTCTAGGTTTCCTCCCTTGTTACACAGGGTTTGTGTGCTAAGGTAGCAAGTGCCTATGAGAAAAGCAGCAGGATGCAGACTCGGTTCAAACTTTGAACCTATTTCAGAATCTTTATTGAAAAAAAAATTAATCACAGCATCTCAACTGTTATTCAAATACATTTAATAAACAAAGAGAACCAGTAGCAAAGGGCACTGACACGTGACAAACTGTACAAAACCTCCGGGTTCGCAGGCAAACCTGAGGGGAGGAGCCCAGGGCCCAGCCGCAGGTCGGGCAGCGGCTCCGTCCCGGCGCCCTGCAGCTCTGACCATGCCCCCCTTTGCCTCAGCCCACTCAGTCACCCCTGAGAAGATCGATATTTTTTTTCTTTTTTTTTTTTTTTTTAATGTGCAGAAACAAAGACACTTTTAAGAGGTTATTTCCAGTCTCACTGTAATGGAACAATTTTGGCCACTGGGAAACAAACAAAACCCATGCTCTCCATTCCCAAGACTAATGCTTTAAGGAGAAGCTTTCCATGAGATGCAAGTGCCCTTAGGAATCCAGCTCATCTCCTACGCCTGTTCATCCACCCTACTTGCCAAAACACGCTACCTTCTTTGGAGTGAACGGGACAAATTTTACCTTAGCTCATTTTTAGTCTGACAGAGTTGTGACTGAGTGAAAGGCAATGGAAGGAAAAGCCCTGTCTTGAGCACAGAAAAGATGCAACCGGGGCATAATGCTGAGATCAGCCCACGGTCTGAGGGTAAAGGTGACCTAGCGCAGTCGGGAAAGAGGGAGATCCCTTTGCTGGGAACATACCTGCTCTGGACGCCTTCATGCCTGGTCCTAAATGTCACACAAGAGCTTGTGAATGGCCAGTAACTGTCAGATCAGTTTTTTAACTTGTTCTGTTGAATTGAAAGACTCAGTAATTGAACCCAAGGAGACTTAAGTCCCTAAGCATGACCTTAGTGCAGAGAGCAGCGTGGAGGGGAAAATCGAGATGCAAGTTGAGCAGCCTTTCTTGTGCATGTGAGCTTAAAAATAGCTGTTCCACTCTACTGCTAATGCTCTCTGGGGCAAAGGGAGGGTGATGGTATCGCCCTTAGGCCCGGCGATGGGATGTGGGGGTGAAAAGCTGCAAGGCGTCACTCCATCCGCTCGAGCTGTCCTGAACTGACCGGCTCTGTCTAGGTGACCCCAGTGCCACGAGCTCTGCGGTTGGAGCAGCAAGATGCCTGGCTGCCCTCGATGTGACCAACAGCGCAACCTGGCCCCGCTGCCTTCAGGTTGGTATCTCAACCGCAAACTCTCCTTCTCCGAGGAAGGGAGAGAAGCGATGGGTGAATGTGTTAGCGGGCTTTTAGAGGCTGCTAACTTGCATACGTGCACATACTCATCAGCTGTGAGCACAGAGCGACAGCGACCGAGGCTACAAGGTACCGACAGAGGAGACACATCTATACACATCACAGTGTTACTCAGCCCAGCCACAGCTCTAATCACAGCAAAACCATCTCACCGCGTTATGAACAGGACAGATGGAGGAAGGTGCTGGGCTGGGTTCTGCGGCGGGGCAGCAAGCGAGCGGCGCTCCAGCAGCCTCTGCCCGACACGGGGGCGACGCAGGGGTGCCTGGCACAGCGGGCAGGACCGGCACCACTAACCCACCTCCCCTCCTGAGGAACGAGGCCGAGCCTCCGCTGGGGACGTCGGCAAAGCGGTGGGGAAATGCAGGCAAGAGCTCGTCCAGGAGGACCGAGAAGAGGCAGCGCTCGTTTGCTGAACCCCTTGTTGGTACTTGGTAACTGTCTGCTGCCCCGCGGCCCGGCCAGCGAGGAAGAGAGCAGACGGGAAACCTGCTTATTTCTCTCTCGCACCTTTCAGGAGACCACAAGCAGCTGAATTCCTTCAGAAGGGAGCCAAACTCCTCAGTCCGGGGGAGGAATTTTCTGGTGTTTTATTAGGACACAACTGCTCTGACCCTGTCAATGTCTCTGAATTGCAGCATCTCTGAAGCTTGGTGGTTAATGTCAGTTTGGGACTTGACTCAAAAGACCCAAGTGCCGGGACACTCGCGCTACAAAGAACAAAGCCAGGATGAAAGGGGACAAAACATGCAGCAAATTCCTAAAAAATTCCATTTACCAGACTAGGAGGGACATGCCCCTGGTTAGGGATGGCACAGCTTAACAGAGGGGACCAGTGACTGCAGTTTGGCTAAGATAAGAATTCAAGAGAGGCACAAACAAACATTTTGCACATCCATCCAAGGCATTCCGAAAAAAAAAGGAAAAAAAAGTCACAGAAGTTGACACGTCACTTTGGACAAGAAACATTACAACAGTTTGGCAACTTTTCACCAATTCCCCCCTCCCCCAGCTCAGTGAAGCCCCTCTGTACTTTGAGGTGAACTCTTAAAAGGGGGGGACAGGAGGGGGCTGCAGAGAAATCACTGCGTGTAAATAGGGGGATCTCCTCTGCAAAGAATCATCTGGGCTGAAGCAAACCTACCTGCTTGCTCCAGTACAAAAGAAATCCTGCCTGAGGTCCTCCCGTGAGGAGGAAGGAGACAGAGCCCACGCCACTGCAGACAAACAAGGCAAAGCTGAACTTGGCAGCAACAAGTCCCTAACCTTGTCACTTTGCACCAGGCTGAGATACGGCCGTGGCAAGACAGCAGAGGGGGAAAGGTGTCGCCCCTCTGCAACTGAGAAGTGAGGACAGAACTTCTCTCCAGCCACGTGGGATGAACACAGGTCTCTCACTTATGCATGAGGAGGGATGGGCTTTGGGAAACGCCAGGAGCCCATCTGTAATAGTGTTAACAGCAGGACCTGCGTTAGACAGACATACAACTTCCCCTCCCTTGGTGGTATCTAAACTCAGCTCTTAGGAACTGGACAAGGAACAAATACAAAGCAAGAATGGGAAAAAAAAAAAAGTTTGTAGGTTTTCTCCAAGTGGTTTTGTTCCTCCTTTTAAAGCCTTGTTCTGATTTGTGGGGGCTGGCTGAGCAGGAAGGGGAGCACTGCAAGGTGCTTGCACCTTTCTGGGGTTGGACTGAGGTGCAAACAGCAGCACAGCTCCCACCCAGCTCCTCTTTCCACCTATGCCAGCCTGGGGAAGGTAGGACTGACTACAGGGGTTGTGGACCTGAGCAGCCACTGCAAAGGCTCCGACTGGGAATCCGGCCCAGCCATTGTTGGAAAAAATTCAATACAGCGCTGGCCAAGAAAACAAATACTTCGGGAAAGGACTATCCAGCTGGAAAAGTCTTTTCCTTCCTTGGTTTCCGGTGGAAGAGGGAAGCCTTTGGTTACGACCAGAATTATTTGCCGTTGGCAGGACAGGCTCGGCTTTGCTTTGCGTTAGCTTGGTTAGTGCACGAGGGCAAGGTGGGACTGCGGAGAGGTGCTCGGCCCAGCTAGGCTGCCCTTTTGACATCTGGGAGTGGAAACAGCGGATGCTTGGATTACATCCGGGATCCTCGCTCCTGAAGAATCTGAAACAGAGAGCCACTGTAAATAATTTGGATGAGTTTGGATGCAAAAGTTCATGTTGAGAATCTTTTTATTTTGCGGGAAGGAAAAAAGGGATTAAGGAGGAGAAAGTCACTGGGGTTTATGTTGCCAAAATGAATGACAGGTTGGTTAAAGCCCCTTGTCTAGAAATACTGGTTCTTGTCTGCAAGGAGTTAAAAATTCCTCTTTTGTGGCCAGTCTGGGGAAAAGAGCTGGTTGAAGGAAGGTCGCTCCCTGTAGCACTATCAATTAGTGCAACCAGGGACAGCAAGGACCCCAGCTATACTGCCCTTCACTTACCTTGTACCTCTTTGTCTTAATCTGAAGTTTATACAGAGCCTTCCCTACAAATGGACCTTGAGGAACCCTATGAGTTTCCTCTCCTAGTTTTGTCCTACAGTAAAACAGGAAATCTCTTAAGAGGAGAAAGTCACGCAAAAATAGGAAATAGGAGTTTCCTATGCAATTTGCTGCTGCAAACTATGGCTCTGCTAGCATAGGAAGGGTGGGGTAGGTATTTATTTTTTTAATTATCTTTTTGCATAGGTGAATTGAAGTCAATATACTCAAGCAGGTTTCTTACCTTTGCCTTCTCACTGGGTTCTATGACAATACCATTGGTAGAGTTATTGAGCTCCCTGGACACAACACAGAGGAATTCTGCCTGGTCTTCATTCCCATAGTTATAGGAAGATCCAATGCTGATCAGCTGTGACAGGAGAGAGCCAAGGTAAGGAGGATTATATCAATAGATTTGGGGTTTTTTTTGCTTTTTTCTTACACTTGCTTTGTGAGATGTGGTTTTCTGGTGAGACCTATTCTGATCTGAAGTGTCAAGAGGCCAAATATCTCTTGGGTGTTCAGCTGTGTTACAGGCTTTCTGGTGTGTGTTTGTAAGGCAGAGACCAGACAAGCTCCAGGGCCCTCTAGTGGCATCAGGAGCCCCAGGAGGAAATTCCAGCCTGAAAAAGCAGCTGAAAACAAAGCGTTTTCCAGTTACCGAGGGCAGAAAAAGGGAACACACACAGTTTTGCAATATATAAAACACAACTAATTTATACAAGGACAAAGCCACACTGCCTCTGTGGTTTGCAAAGTAATTATGCCTATGTTGAACTCAGCTCTGAACTTGCCTTCTGATACTGTATAAAAGCTGGAGAGAATTCTTTATTGCAGACAGATGTTAGATTAACTACGGGACATGTGGCAAACTGGCTCCATTTTTCATGTAGACACTGTCAAGATGGAGTTTGATATTTGTACAAATGGAATTATGTTACATTACTGTTGTGATGAGGAGTCTGGCCTAGACCCAAGAAACCCCATCTGTCCCATATTTATCGTTATTACATTAAAAGGACATCCTGGAGAGCAGAGCTAATTTGTCACTTGCAACTCAGTTCTGCTTTCCAAGCAGCAAATCTAACTAATCTGAAGGAAGTCACGTGAACCTTATCAACTGCATATATTTAGGGAACTTTAATAGGCAGCATGCACCCCACTGTCCAGGTCCTAATGGATTTTAAAGGGCGCAGCTTTTATTTCTATACAAGACAGATGTCTCAGACTGTCTACATTCCTGCTAGACAGATGATAATCTGTACGGTCACACTGCAGCTGCAGGAAGGCTGGGGGCTGCCACGCTGACCTCTACTACTGCTAATAGTTTGTGATGTTTGTGCTAAGGGCAAAAGACAGGCTCAGGATGGGAACAATATTTTTTTCCTCCTTTGAATGCCTGAAACATTTCAATGCTGCACTTCACGCCACAATTTACAGAACAAACACAAAGCATCTTTTGACGAAAACAGCAGCATTTTCAGCCTGTTAGAGTGAAATGTAAGAACAGAGGAGAATGGATTTCCTTTTGAGATGCCAAATTTCTATTCTCTCTTTTGCAGGACTCTGTTACTACACGGAATCTCAAAGGCTACATATTCCTCTGAGGACTTGCTGCTGACAGAGGTAATGAAGCTGCAACAGTGTTTACTGCTCTGGCTTTTCTACAGGTTTCTGAACCATTGTCTTTTTAATTCTGTGATGTGACTGGATCCAGAGAGAGCTTGCTAAGGGAATCTCCATGCTGTTGAATCATTGGTGCCCAGGCTAAGATTTAGCTACAGGCTTTTGTCCCTGTTATGGCATGTTATCATGCTACATAATGCATGTTAGCTTGCAAATTCACTTGACTTTTGGGAGGAGCTGAAGTCATGCTAAGTTGAACATCTGGAGAAGGGTGGACTTGGTGCCTTTTGGAGTAATTGGGCTAAATGGACTTTGCTTTTGGCTGCTGTCAAAGGCAGCACCTCTCATGCAAACTTTTGAGAAACAAAATTGCATGTTGGTAAACAGCCTCACCATGAAGCAGCTAGAGGTTCTCAGTCACCCAAAGGTTTCAGTAGCTGCCTCAGGGACAAGAGTTTTTTGTTCTCTCCCCACTAGGCAATAGGAGTTTTCAGGCATAACAGAACAGAGCTGCAGTTCAAAAGTGACAGAAGTGAAGAATCGGTGCTGTTGCTAATCCTATGAATTATTTCATGTCAGCACAATTCCCACAGAATCCACTTTTCAGGAAGCTGGACTCGCTGGGAAGATGGCAGAGCTGTAATCCACAGAGCCTGTCTTGATGCTTCTTAATACAGCACCAACACATGAGCCAGCTGGTTTCTAGTTCTCTGTCCTCCTAAATAAGAGGACTGTGTCTGATTCCAGAAATCAAGTCTGGAACTAATGCCACATGCAACTTCACCGACAGCTAGCCCCGAAACTGGCAGCATTACAAAGGCAGCTGCAGGAAGGGTATTTCTCATGTCACTCAACACCTCTTTAGCAGACACAGGAGTCTTGCCTTTGAGCTCTGCGAAAACTCATGCTGTGTTTCTTCCTGGTTCCCTTAATTCTCTTGGATAAAATGGTTGCACTTGGGCCTGGAGCATGTGAGGAAACGGGGGAAAAGGGCAGAACTACCCTGGGGCTTGACAAGGATACAAGAAGTCATTGGAGACTTTCAAGAGAATGAAATATCTCCTGAAGGGGTTCAAGTGACCCCTGTGTTTCCCGGTCAGTTTTTCCACATAAATGGACTGCTGTTCAATTCAGGCTCCATTCAGAAAAGAGCAGCATGAAACAAAGGAGCAATCTTGGCTCATTCCATAAGCTGCTTTTGCAGGGATTCTGCTGAGGGTCAGAAACAAGCTCTTTGGTAAAGGTACCTGTTCAAACTTCCACCCATCAGACATAGTGGACACCATCTGTGTGAGCTCTTCCTCTTGGCACTGCAGGACTCGGTACACATGCTTCACAGGTCCCTAAGGCAAGCAGAGTAAAAATAACCAGGAATTTAATGTTTTTTAAATTTAATATCAAAATAGGAAATTAATTAGCCTCTGGTAAGGTCTTCTGTTCTATTTTGTCAGTATTTTAGAAATCTGAGTGTTGCAGAATTTGAGGTTTCATTCCTTCCAAGCATCCAACTGATTCTAAAACAGGTACCTAAGCTGGGTACCCATCTCTCAAAAGCTTCTAGAAACTTGAGTGCCACTGAAACCAAAACCCCTTTGGCTTTCAAAGCTATTTAGTGTTTTTGTTTTGATGTTTCTCTTCTGTAATCCCCACTACTGTGCTTTTCTTAATAGCTGCGTAGCAGCAGTAGGGAAAAGTTGCACAGTGACACCGAAGAGAGGAAAAGTGTCTGTAGAAGGAAAAATTATATCTAATCATAATAGAAAAACTGAACAAAACATGCTGCAAACTACAGTTATTTCCTCACTACAGGCTTGGCTCTAGGGAGACAGCTAGGATATAGGACCTGCCAAAACAAGGTAGATCTTACACAGGAGGAATTGGCAGTGCTTAGGAATGTCCCTGATGCTCCAGCACTGCCCACTTCCCTGTCAACCACAAAGCAAATAAAAAGCCCTGTGAGGAAACTTGTCTGAGTAGGAATGACCCACCCACAATATCTCACCTCTGCCCCACTGAGCTGTTGGCTCTGTACCTTCCAAAGCAGCAAGTTTCATGTATTTTTAATTCAAATTATCCATCTTTGTTCCCTGGGTCCTTTCACTGAACTATTCATTACCCTTTCCTCTATGGCCTGTGCTTATAAAACCTGTGGATGTTCTTTCTTAGCTGTGTCTTGCATCCACTTAGAAAGTGGCAATCCCCAATGTTTTAAAACTCAGCTGAAGAACTGCTACTAAAAGTAAATGCCTCCTACAGCAGTGCTGGTCCCTCCACTCTACTGCTGGGAGTGAACGAGTTCGTAGCTCAATTTATGTGCATTACTTGAGAGGTTCTGTTCTCGTTATCCCGTATCCGTTCCTTCACCAGCCGCACAAGGGAGGCGATATTGTAAAACTCGGCTTCTTCCAGTACCCCTGAGAAAGGAACCAAAAAGAGACAGGGCAGAAGGAAGACTTTAGTGCAGGAGGAAGATTTTAGTGCAGGGATACACCTGCTCCTGACACTGTCTGGCACAGAGGGGGAACAGTGCCTGGATCCCGAATGAGCTGTGGCACTATCTCATTCCTCTGGGCTTAGAGAAAGGGACCTGTATCCAATGAGCTGTCACTTGCTGCTGTGACAGGGGGTGTCCATGGGGCTATCCCAAACTTTGTGGTACAATCTCTGCGTTGTTCTCTCAGCCCCACTCAGGGGAAAGTCACCAAAGCCTCTTGCTATGGAGCACCACAGCCTGGGGAGGGGGGAAGAGATGGTTCCAGCAGCGTTTTTACCACCATTTGAACAGCAGCATTGGCTTGTGTGACAAGCTGGAGGCCTCGGCTTCCAGGACGGTGCAGAATCTAGTGATTTAGTCCCCGTTAGCAGGCATCTTTCTGGGAATCTACCCTTAAACAGCCCTGCTCACAAGCGTGGCTCACTCACGCAGCTGCACGGTGCCACAGCAGGAGCCCACGGGCTCCAATGAGTGTCTGATAACGCCCTTCACTTGCCCTCTCCAACAGCACCTGCAGCTCTCCCACTGTGCTTTGTTTTCCCTTACCTTCTTCTGCAAGCTCCTTGTTGATGATAAGTTTCCCATGTCGGAGGTAGTTCAGTATCGGACCAAAATACGTGGGATCTCTATCGATGAGATAAGCTCCTGTCTCATCCTGGTTGGGAAGGAGCGGCAGAAAACAAGTTGAAAATGGTAAGTTTCTCTGTCAGAACCTGAACTACTTTTGCCTGTAAAGCCAAAAGAAAAAAAGGGGTGCCGGGGGCACCACACTCGAATCAATCTTCTTTTTAACTCCCGCTAACTGTTCACTAAACTGCTAATGTTGCAGCTCACTAACGAGCAGATGTCTCAAACTGAACACGTGCAGAAACAAGGCCGCTGTATTTAGAGAAAAGCAGGGCCAGCAGCTCCTCACTGCAGTAACAGACTGCAAAAACCAGCAGGCTTGTCCTGGCTGTATTTGTTCTCTAAGCCAGTTGAATTAGAAGGAGACTCTGAAGAAGTAAAGAAAAACTTAAAATCTTGTCATAAAAAATAGAAGTATTTGCATCTCCTTAGGATGGAATTTGGGTTTCCAGTCCAGGCCAACAGCTCGGACAGTTAAAGCACCCCTGTATTTTTCTGCTGCTGAAAACGCCCATTGCAACACGGAGCCCACAGCAGCTCCGACAGGCCTGCGTGCACCCGGGATAGCCACCAAACTACCAACAGCTCGTACCCAAAGGCAGCCCTTGAACCAGCTCTGAGGAGCTGACGGGCTCCGCACGGAAGGCTTTCACACCACGTCCTTATTTTTGAAGCCAGAGCAATCTGCTCGTAACGATCCTGCAGGGACTTCTGGAACGTCACCTCTATTCACCAGCAACAACCACAACAACAACGTGTTGTTATTTTGACCGCGAGCAGGGTTTAACTTCTCATTAGACTCTTATCTGGGCGGGAGAGCCTTGCACAACTCCCCGTTGTTGACAAGTCTGTGTACAAGGGACGTGCAAAACGCTGCACCGCGGCTCGCACGGAAGAGCCGGGATTACAGGGATAAACTAGGGAGGCGGCCAGATCCCGACGATAAGTTACAGCAGCATCAAAACTGTCACCCAAAGCAGGGAGCGCTGCCTTTGGGGAGGGAATTAATCGGGATGTAAAGCAGAGGGGCGAGCTGTCGCTCGGCTCCACGGGACAGCTGTTTCCGCGCTGCGCGGTGGGAAATCCTCGGAATTCCTGTTTCCAGCAGAGCTCCTCCGGCTCCGCTGCCAGCCGCAGCGGGAAGGCGCCGCTCTGCCGGGCGCGGGCGGCCGCGGGTCGAGCGCTGCCCGGGGCGGCGGCG